GGCCATTTCCAGCTTCGACGATGAGGACCCCTCAGCACCCGCCCCAGCACCGACCGAGGGTGTTGAGAACCTGAGCATAGCCGAATCTGCTGCCGCGCCGTCTGCGAGCTTGTCTACGCACTTGAACAACCCTGCTCTGCACAAGCGAGCACCCGTGCAGCAAGCTATCGCTGATGTTCGGATGACCGTGCGAAAGCTGTTCAGCGAATATCTCGAGTCCAAAGATTTCGTCCAGTTCGAGCCCCCTTGCCTAATTGGTGCTGCTTCCGAAGGTGGCGCAAACGTGTTTTCGCTACCGTACTTTGAGAAGCAGGCTTTCCTTGCGCAATCGCCTCAGTTCTACAAGCAAATCGAAATTGCTGGTGGTCGAAAGCGTGTCTACTGTATCGGACCGGTATTTAGAGCAGAGAACAGTAACACTCCCCGACATATGACCGAGGTAGGATTTACTCTAATTAATGACAAATTATTGTATAAAGTAAATTAACTAACAATTTCTAGTTTACCGGTCTCGATCTGGAGATGGAGATCGAGGACCACTACCACGAGGTCCGCGACATGATCGAAGGCGTCATGCTCTACATTTTCCGAGGCCTCCAGGAGCGATGCAAGGAGCAAATCGAGCTCGTCCGAGCTATTTACCCATCAGATGAGTTCTTACTGCCGGAGCACGGTAAAGAAGTGCGACTCACGTTCGCCGAGGGCCAGAAGCTACTACGTGAGGAAGGACCCGAGGAATTCCGCAACGTCTCGGACGAAGAGGATATGAGCACCCCGCAAGAAAAGGCGCTAGGCGCCTTGATACGCAAGAAGTTCGGTACCGACTTCTACGTGCTCGACAAATTCCCCGAGGGCGCACGTCCCTTCTACGCCATCGAGGACCCCGAAAACCCCAAGGTCACCAACGCGTACGATTTCTTCATGCGCGGCCAGGAGATCCTGTCCGGTGGCCAGCGTATCCACATCCCCGAGCTGCTTGAGGCTCGTCTACGCAAGAAGGGCATCGACCCCACGAGTCCCGGCATCAAGGACTACGTCGACGTGTTCAGGTCGGCCGGCGTGCCGCCGCACGGTGGTGGAGGTATCGGTCTCGACCGCGTAGTCGCGTGGTACTTGAACTTACCCAGTGTACATCTGGCAAGCTATTACCCCCGCACACCGAAGAGGCTCACCCCGTAAGGGATGGCTGGCGTGTGTGTGATTTATGTACCTTGCCGAGGCTTATTGCGATAGGAAGCGAAAATGGGAGGGAGGGAAGTAAAATAAATGAGAAGTAAAGAACTATTCTCGTTATTCAGGGGCGATGTTTTGGTCATACCTAGCTGTGCCGAGCTGAAGAGTAGATGTCGTGGCAAATAGAATAAAATAAAATAAAGATTTTCAAATTAACCAACTAACTGTATGTGTTTAATGCTGCGTATACCACTGGATGCCAGGTAGGTACTAATCTCCTGTCTCGACTACTATAAAAATAGAGAGACGGGAAGGAATCCAGACAGTAAACAGACGAGACGTATTTATTTATTTTGTTTATTCGTATTAGACACTTCCCTACGCGTAGTATCTGACCACCTCTTCATGATATCACGATACCACTGCTTCCCCTTTACAATAATAATGTACAATGCATATCGTATTTTCTCTTCATCTACACGTTTCTATCACTTCATGTTTAATACCCCGTTTTAATATATTAAAACTTGTGATATTCCCTCGTATCCCCTAATCTAATTCATTTAAGATTTCCACCGAGCATCGATCTGCTTCTTCCGGACCTTTGTTGGATTGTTAGCATTTATATTTCGTCACTCAAAAATATATATATAAAAGGAGTGCAAAGCTTACCATAGGTCTCAAAGCACCTACACCCAGAACAAGTGCCGCAACCGTGCCTACGAGCGCCAACTTATTGAACCCCTTACCCAAGACGTCAAACGCTAGACTAGGCGTGACCCTCGTGCCAAACACATCGATACCATACGCTAGAACCAAGCTCGTGCTCTCGAGCACCGCCGGCGCCGTAATCACCTCCTTGACACCCAGCACGTCACGCTGGTGCGTGATCAACATACGCGGGTCTAACTCGATGGCAGGGAAGTACTTGCTCAGCCCCTCTTCGAGCTCCGCGGGAGTCGGATCCCGGCCCACGGGGCGGCGAGGCTCTAGGGCCATGCGTGGGATGCCGACAATAGAGTGGGATTCCGGTAGATACGCTAGTAGCTGGCGGGATGTGATACCTTGGCGTGTCTTTGTCACGGCGAGGGATTTGATAGGGGCTGAGAGGATAAATGTTTTGGACACGACAGAAGGGAGATATGGACCGGTGGGCAAATCGATCGGATCTAGGGCTGAGTAGTTAACCAAGTCGCCGAGCGGACCGCGATCGTTTGCATTATCTGATTCGTATAGGTCGGATACGACAATTTGGTATCCCTTTAGTCTCTGGGATTGAGAGTCTCGCAGTTTGTATTGGCCGAAGAAAGAGCATGCAAACCAGTTCTCGGCTACGGCACAGCTGATATCTTTGGTCGGGTCGATACCTTCGTAGGTAGATGAAGTTAACACTTGTCCGGAAACCGTATCTAGGAGGTAGACTGAGAGGGAGGCCGCTTGCTCGTTGATCGCGGCGACCACGAGTGTGTTAGGATTCAAGTACTTGTACTTGACGGTCCGGTCTCCAAGTACTCGGCCTATAGATGCAATCGGGTCGTGTGTAGACCGGCTTGCAACCTCGACGATCCTCTGCCCTGCAGGAGGGTTGAAGGTCCAAGTCGGAACTTCGATAGCTTGTTCGCCCTTAGTCACAAACTTCACCCCCTTGATCCCGCCATCGCTCGTCCGTGTGACAACAGTCTGCTTGGGAGCCCACGTGCTATTTATCTCAGCAATCTTCCCACCTTCACCAACAGGCAACAACCAGGGCCCGGCGTCGCTGTCCACCACAACAGCACTTTCAATCGCCGGAAACAAACCGGCCGGTATCGATTCAACAGTCTTGCCAGTATCAGATTTAACGGTAATGGATTCACCGTCAGCTCCAAGGACGGTAACGAATCCATTCACATCATCAGCATGGATAGCCTTCACATCCCATGGCTTCTTTCCAGGGGTCTCGCTTGCCGACTTAGACCAGACAATCTTGCCGTGGTTGCCAGTGTCGAGACCGTACAGCTTACCGCGCTTTGTCGCTAGAACGACGAGCTTATTGAATCCAAAGCTATCTCGTGTCAGGGTTTCGCTTGACCTTGTAGTCTCTGAGCCAAGAAGACTAGCCGAAATACGCTCGGGAACTGTTTGCAAGTACGCGGGCAAGTATCGAAGCTCGTCGATATGACGAGTCACGCGATGAACGAAAGCGGACCAGGGATCGGTATGCGCCTCGGCCTCTAACGTCTTCGCCAGATCTTCCGACTCGGGAATTTCCGCCCACGTAGCAGCGACCGCACCACTTAGTCCTTCGGGTCGAGTCCAAGACACATCGCCATTGACAATTTGTGTCCAGTCATCAGCATCAGTGACGACAGCTGACCTAACGGCGTAGTTATCCTCCGACTTCTTAATGACCTCAGAGACACCGTGTACAGCCTCTATTTTTTCCGCTCCTGTGTTCAAGGGCCAGCGGCCCAAAATGCCATGAGAGACGGACGAAGTAATAATGACCTCATCGGCAGTGACTCGAGTGAAGTAGACATTGGCAGCAGACGAGCTAGTGGAGAATGCACTTCCACCCTCGAGCAATGGTAAGTCGTATGCCTTGCTGATGGCATTGCTCTTGAGATCGACGTGGAATATGTCAGCCCTACTTCCCTTCTTAGTTCGAGTGTGTACGAGGAAATGCGGCGAAGAGCGGACGGTGTGCGGAGCATGGACTTCCACACTAACCGTATCAGCCACGAGAGGGAACTCCTGTCTGTTCTTAGAGCCGAGGACGTTGACCTTGAGCTTCGTTAAAGTGTTATCTGTCCAAGCAACGACGGGAGCCGCAGAATTGGCACCGACGAACTGGACATCCTCCGGCTTTTGTACCTCACCCTTAGTTCCAAGGACAATCTCGTCTAGCTTCTTCCCGGTAAGGGTATCCAGCACGATAACCTGGAGGTTGTAGGATAACAGCGACCCATGTAGAGTGACGACAAAGACCTTCTCGACGTTGGTGCTGACTTGTAGAGGAACACCTTTAGTAAGCTCCCTGAATTCCCAGACCACACGCCCCTCAATACCGTGTATCCTCCGTGCAACCGTTGCACCGTCTTCTTGATATAACGCTAGGACGTCCTTGTGGTCTTTCTCAGTCATCTCCATAATTTCTAGGTCCTTGACAGCCCCATCGAAGTCAAGTGTCCAGACATTGCGGCCGCTAATAGCATCCCACGCATGCACGGAGCTGCCCAAAGCACTGGCTAACCATGTCTCATCCTCTCCAGCTCGTAGATGGCCACCACCATCCGTAACATTCTTATTTAACAGCTGTCTCCATACGATGGCACCGTTGCCGGGATTAACGGCACCTAGAACGCCCAAGTCGCTAAGGGTATATAGCAGGCTAGCCTTTTCCTGAGGCCTCGGATGGTGGAAGAATGTGGTTTCGCGTTGGGGAACACCGAGGAGCTTGTGGTGGAAATCGATGTGGCCAACCTCGTCTTTGAAGACGGCGCGCACGGCAGCAGGCAGAGCTAACAGCAGAGCAATTGATAGCGTCTGTGCCGGTAGATGCATCTTGGTCAGATGCGTAGAGGCTACTCTACGCGACAAAGATGCTATTTGGAACCGGGATCGTGATAATCAGTAATATCTGGCATTAGAGTCGATGGTTTAGAGAAGGTCCACCGTTGTTTAACGTTGGGACGAATCCATGTTAGATCCACGTTGGATCCATGTTGGATCCACAATGATACAATGCTTACATAGGTGCCTTAGGTACTATTACGTAACTCGTATGCATATAACGAAGATATTCATCTATAGGTACAGATACAATACTACCTATCTCGATGATATTTGGGAAATTTGATTGATCTCATCAAGTCAATTGTATATACCTGCTATGCTAGTTTTGTGGTCATCAATTATGGCGAGTACCGGTAGGTGTAGCTCAAGAATCAATACGCCGATGTAGTAGCAACAATCTCAAGCATCAATTGGTATCTCTCGAAGCACAATTACCATCTATGCCTTCATTCTGCTGGTATTACATGCATCATTATCAAGACCTCCATCTTGACTGTCCTGCTTAACGAACTGACTAAATGTGAAAGGAAACGCATGGATTATCTGCTTGAACACCCCTTAATAACATTGCAATGGATTAGGAGAGGAATGACGTCTTGGAATTGCAGTCAACTATATGTCCGGCCTGAAAGAACTTAGAGCTTTTACTCATTGTCATCTCTGTTCCTCTCGTTAGCTTAGATTGTCAAACCCGAGTTAACTCAAGTTGAAAACTTACGTCTTCTTGGGACGACCTCGACCTCGTCCACGCTTGGGAGCAACTTCTTCCTCGGCAGCTTCGGCGGCCTTGGTCTTGCGGCCACTCTTTGCTTTGGGTGCTGCCTTCTTGGGCGCTGCCTTTGGGGCAGGTTCCTCGTCATCTTCTTCATCCTGCTCGGGTTCAGCAGCCTTAGCCTTGCGACCGCCCTTCGCTTTAGGTTTAGCCTTAGCCTTCGGGGCAGGCTCTGGTTCCTCATCTTGCTCGTCATCGTCAGATTCAGGGGCTGGAGCTTTGACAGCAGGCTTCTTGCCTCGAGCTTTTTTAGCAGGGGCCTTAGCCGGAGCCTTGACAGGCGCAGCCTCTTCCGGCTCTTCTTCCTCTTCCTTATCCTCGTCGGCTACCTTCTTGGACTTGCGGCTAGCTTTGGTGGCCTTCTTCTTAGCAGGCGGGGCATCATCCTCTTCATCGTCTTCCTCATCTGCCTTCTTGCGGCCACGCTTCGCAGATTTCTTGGGAGCAGCCTTCTTGGGGGCATCCTCTTCCTCGTCCTTAACAAATGTGAGTAGAAGCAAAAACGGGACACAGCGGATAGACTGACCTCATCATCCTTCGCCTTTTTCTTGGAGTTAGTACGACCACGAATAGCCGGATGGCCAGGCTTGTTGAATTCGGGATCCTACCAAATTGTTAGTTACGATTTAATGGAATCCGCAAATTGGAAAGCTTACTCCTTTGAAGTCTTCGGGATCGATATGACCTTGAGTCACGACACGCCGGATCTTTTCTTGGATCTCAGGGGACTCACTAGGGGAGAAAATTTAGCAAAATGGAAGAACCACAACCCGTGTATTGATAAGACTTACTCTAACTCGTCGTAACCGTCGATCATGTCCCACTGGTAATCACCATCACCATCGGAGATCTTCTCCTGAAGGTTGCCGACGGTCTTACCGGAGACGCAGCCCCTTTGAAAGGATTAGTTGGTGATTTATAAAAGCAATAGACTATCATACCAGTGTCGCCATCTGTAGGATCCATTCTCGGCTCCGGGCAAATCAACCCAGACACCGAAACGCAGCTCACCCTTTTGGATTTTGTCGCCGGTCTTCTTGCACAGGGTATCCTGGCAGCCAGCACGGCCAGTCTTGGCGATCTCTAAAAGATAGGTTAGCTATACTACGAAAGAAGACAATTGGGTAAGGTAAATAGTATAGTGCGAAGACGATGATGATGATGATGGGGTAGAATGTAAGGGGTGATATTCATGACGATAGGGATAAATAAAATAAAGCTTAAGACGTACCAATGCGGTAAGACATAATTGTCTCGTATTGATTTGAGAAATACCTAATGTATAGTCTCTTGGGATGTGGCAAGTCAGTAGGTACCTATGGGATCAAAGGTGGGTGAAGAATCGTATAAGATGAGATGGTGGCGATTCGGTGTAGTAGTAGAGGCGACCCTCGGGAAGATATTAATTGATGCAGGTCGTGGAATATGTAAATTTTGAAGAAAATTGCTGAAGAAACTGCAATTTCACAGATGAGTTTCTTCAAGGTTAAAAGTGTGTCAAATGCAACACATCCGAAATAAAGAGGATAAATGGAGAGACAAAATGGCCTCAGGTTGTCAAAGGGAGACAATAAGGAAGGTGGTTGAAATCGAAAGAATTGGAGACGAGTTCGGGGGGCTTGAAACGCGTTGGCAGCGCGTCGAACACGGAGGTAGCTCCAGACACCCCGAACTGTCTACTTAGCAGTGGGCTGTGCCCTTACAGTTGGCCCTATGTAGCACAATTTAGGCGGTAACCTGATTGATTAGGGCATGAATTATAGGTGTCTTTAGGTGCCTTATTCTTCACCTAGGCAGGTACCTATGAACGTACACCACTCACACACTAACTGTACCGCACTTACCAAACCATGGTTGAGTTACGGTATATTTAATTTGCACATCTCTTCGTTTAAGGGGAAACGATCACCTGCTTGAAAATCCTACCATTTCCCAATTTGTTTGCATTCGTAATAATATCGATAACTTATTTCATTTCATTTTCTCATATTTCATTGCATTGTACCTCCTTTTCCTCCAATCTAAAGACGCAAAAAACACAGCCTAAATATGCAGAACCCGCGCGTAGAGAATGACTATTAAAAATATCATGTCCAAACCCCACGGTGACAATGAGCTTCTCGCATCCCAAGTCTCATAGCGAGGAAACGAGCAGCTATGAAAATGGAATAAAAATGCAATGGTACTGTTCTTCTATAAGAACGGACACCAACCAATATACATAGCTGACAGGTTCTTCGGATTGACAGCCTGCTTGATCAGCTCTTCCACCTGCCCCTCCACCCCAAGCGGTATGCTCTCGTCGGGTAGTAAACCCCTAACTTTCCTCTTAATACTATCTACCACGCTCTGCGGGTTAAGCCTGACTACCTCGTTTTTTTTACGCTTATCCCGCTGTAGATCTAACGTCGGGTCGTAGATAAAAGCTTCTAAAATAGTCATCAACGTTTCCTCTTGCTGTCGAAGAATGCTTAGTGTCAGCTCTGAGCACTGTCTAAATGGTCCCTCGTATCCGTAGATTCCCATTGCTGCCACCATATTGTGCGTTAAGCGGAATGGTACCCGTTCAGGCTGCGCAAAGGTAAGGCCTTTGTCGAAAAGACAGTTGAAGTCGACATGAAACACGCCGCCGTTGCCTTCTTCTAGGAGCACGTTCTCTCCATGTCGATCACCGAGTCCTAGAATGGTACCAACCATCGACATGACAGCGCACGACCTTGTATACCTGAGTCGAGCTGCAAACCAGGCCGAAGGGTTCGGGAATTGCGAAATGAACCAATTAGGAAGTACGGGTGGGAACATTCCTATGATCGTTTCTGAAAAGATTTTGGTATTCTTGTCTCCCGAGGCAGCATCTTTCATCATCTGTGCCAGGTGTTGATAATTGGGGACAATGCCACGCGATCGGTAAATGGCGAGGAGAATATCCCGAAGTGTTTTAAGCCCGTCAACCCACTCGATGATACCGCACTCCTCATTGAGTGGCGTAACGGCGTACGTTTTAATGTACAGTTGTCTCCTACTGGATTCCGCATCTCGCTTTAGCGATCGATTGATCATCCCATTGAATTCCATTAGCCGCTGGTCAGTTCGGAGATCGTCCTTTGGCTTGATGAGCAGACCATAGTTTACTCCGTTCGACCCGCGAGCCGTGAGTTTTCGAGGTTTCGCCAGAGAACCTAGCACTAAAACCTCGTCGAGGAATGACTGAATGACAATGACGTCTCGCGAAAATGCTTTATGTTTTTTGACATTATCCGTGAGGGTAGGCAGTGTAGCCGTGAGACAGGCCTCGATCGGGACGACAAGGGGACACGGAGTGCATTTGTGATTGAAGTTCAAATCCCGGGTAATGCTAGCTACTGTCGTCCTATTGCTCTGGAAATCCCCATTATTACACGCCATGAGTAGCTGCTCTGCCAACTTCTCGCCCATTCGCAGTAGAGCTTTGAGATCGTAAGCGCCGTTTTCTACCTTCTTATTTTTACCCCTGAGCTTTTGTAGCATTTGCTGACCGCGCGTCCTCCGTTCAGAAGTCGCTTGCCGAGATGTCATAACAGCAAACAAACTCCATAGTGCTTGTCTTGGATGAGCCTCGACAACTCTCAGTATAATCTCCTCGAGTATCATGAATACTTCTGTATTAGGATGAGCAATACGAGCTACCAGTTGAGGTAAAGTCGTGTAGAAGATGTACGCAGGTAGCCGCTGAATTGATTTGAAAAGATACTTATGAAGCGACTCGAGCTGTGTTTTACGACGATAGTGAAGCTCTTTGGAAAGAGAGATCTTGCCTTCCGGCGCTTTATCGACCTGGGCACCCATCTCAAGCCATAACGTTAGTACCCGAGGAAGGGTTTGGTAGAGGTACTTGACCCCATAGTTTAACGATCTGATGTAGTTCTCGATTACGAGCTTCGCCGTCTCCCCTGTTAGATATTCGTCACTTTGATCATCTGGTTTTAGAACCTTTTCGGATTCAAGAACCTTTTTATAATGTCGGCCGAGGTAATAGTGACCCTTTTCCCATGTGCCGTAGATTTTAGGGACGTTTCGATAATGTTCCCGCAGCGCAGATGCATGAGTCTGGCCTGCACTATCGAGCCACTTTGCGAGAAGCAATTGAGCACGCGCAGTCAACATGCTCTGTTGTGACTCAAGGTTTTTCTCGGAGGATTCATGTTCAGTGAAACTATGGCTGGTAAACGCTTGGCTATCAATAGCTCCCTGAAGCGTCTGTATTGCCTTTCTATTGTGACCTTCTTTCCATAAGAGTCGGGCATTTTCGATGGTCGCGGAATTATCACCCAGCTGCGAAGCATGGAGTACCGCGTTGAAGGACTGGTGCATGGAATTGGTCTTTCTTGCAAGCCGAGCACTTGACAGCCAGAGAGCTGAGATATCCAGGTCACTGAATCGCGACCTATTAAAATTAGCTTTCGAAGGCAAGCCATATTATGTGATTCACAGAAACCTACCCTAGCAATTTCATAGCTGCCCGCCGAATACTGAGCACATATTGTTTATCGCTTACATAAGATCCGAGAACCTCAAGACGTCGGCTGAGAGTTTTGAGCACCTCCTGAGGATGCTGGTTGCCATCGTTGTTAATGCCAGCAATAAGCTCTAGATCGGTTAAAACATGGCATTTCAGCATGGGCTCGTGACACGCCTGTAGTGATGATGTGACTGAGTAATTCATGGAAGCATTAACTCTGTCTCTGAGTATTTTCATCTGATCGACGAAGTCCTTGGTCGATCCCCTTTTTAGGCAAAGTAGGGCTTGGGCGATTGATACGTTGAAATTTTCCGTAAGATCTCCTTGATACTTCCTAATAAATTTCTCCATCGTCTGCCATCTTCCCGTTGCCCAGGACGCTTCTACGGCGTACGGCACTATCCGATTGATCGTCGTTATTGCGGTGTGCTTCTCGATGCCTTCTACATAATTCAGAAGGACATCTGTGATCTTGATTAGCTATCAGCGTAACCGAATATTCAAGGGAAGCGGCTCACCATGCTGTCCTGACTCCTTAAGACAGGTTAAGAGGTCGATCTGAACGTCCACATTATCAGGGTCTTCAGCCAGCTTGATTTCATACCAAGTCTGTGCCGCTGCCCATCTCCCAGCCTTCCGATGACTTCGAACCTGTTGGTTAATGTCAAGTACGTGCAGATGTGCTGATATTCCCTCTAAGCCATCCGGTTCATCTATTTGCGTATATATGTCTTGCAACCTTTGAAGGAATCGCTCTCTCTCGTCGGTGCCTCTCTTCTCCTCGTCCACCTGACGAATATGCTGTTCCAGATGAAACAAGGCTCGGGAGTAAGCTTTGCAATCTACTGCCCGCTTCGATATCAATTCAGCGGGAATGGATTCAAGTATCTTTTGCACTTTATCCATAGCAGCGTGGTCGCGCGGATTAAGGCTAGTTGAACTCCTCTTCAACTGTAACCATCGCATACCGTAGTCAATAAAACGAAACACAGCCTATTATAGTCAGTCTTAGAATTATGAAGAAGACACATATGAAACTCACCTCGCAGTACAATTTTTGATTCTCCCTCTCTTCATAAGTAGCATTATTCGGAACTTCGTGTTGAAGTACGTTGAGAAGTTCATTAAGAACATTTGAGCGCTCTTCGTCCGTCGTATCTTCACCAACAACAATGTGAAGAACTACATAAGGAAATAGAAATTCCGCTGTTGACAGGTCCTTAATTCGAATCACCCGGCATAGGGGTTCGAATATGAGCTGAGCAAATGGAGCTTGCGGTTTGCGCATAAGATCGAGGGTGAGATTCCGCATCCAGTTGGCATACCTTGTCTTACCGGGACGAAAGATGGGGTATTCTGTCTTCTGCGGGGCCATTGGCTGGACAACGTATCTCGAAGTCATGAAAGGGATTAAGACCTCCCGGGCATTTTCAGACATCGTCAGCCATTTGCGGTAAATAGGTGCTGCCTCTCGAGAGCCTTGCATCTCCACGGCGGCTCTGATGTCAGATCTGTCGAGAAGCTCTTGCATAGCATATGAGAGGAACCCCTGAAGATTAGTATCAGTCGCGGAGAGGAATGATTTAACTAGAACCTCCTCTAGTATATATATAACAAAATCTGTTGTCTCGCCAGCATGCTCAAAATTACTTTTAACGACGATCTGCCTCTCCGCACGGACTGTCTCCACGCGGTTTGGGTCTAAACAGCCTATCAACCCTATGCACTGGGTGCAGAGATCGCTGATTTCACCGTGGACGCCGTTATATCGTGATGAGCAATCGAGAAGCGAGCGAGCAAGAATAGGCACAACAGAGTCAGGTTGCTCACTAACGGCGGATGCCTGTAAATAGTCTTGCTGCCTCTGCAGATAGGATACGAGCTCCCTCAGTGCTAACAAGACGACCCCATCATTCTCATGGCTAATTCTCTCTGCGAGCAAGGAGAAAGCTGTCCTGCTGTCGACAGGTTGACGGAGCTTGCTCAGTTGAGCTTCGATATCTAACAGGTTGTTGATGTGACTAAACGATGGTAGTTTGCTAATCATCGCTTCTAATACCACGCTCTCTTTTTCTAATAAAGATTCGATTAAATTTCGAGTCAGCTTCTGGGTTGCTTCGTCGAATGAGGACCAGTAATGACTGATGAGGAAGAATGTCGTTTCAATAAGAGCCTCGACGTCTTCTTCTTCCAAGTGAATAAGCATCGCAGCCCAGCATGAAAATGCAGCGGAGCGAAGTTCGTCGTACAGCATTACCGCCTGAAGACAAGCGGAAATCTATTCTGTGGTCAGCGCGTATTAAGTGCAAGCCAAGGCATCGACATTACCTGTGGGCGAGCAATACGGATATACTGTTTACCAGTCCGAATCATCTCCTCCATCGCTTTTATGTATCGCTTCCGTTCCTGTATCGGCGTTCGGGTTGACGCATCGTTGATGACTTGAGTTAGCCCGGCCATGAGTGCCAGCGCATACCTCTGCAAAAAGGGGCCTGATGCGTGTACTTTTTTCTGTTTCAACTCTCCACTCCCCGCTAGCATCATGCTTGCCACTTTATTCAAGACGCCGCGGATCTATAAGTCTAATTAGCGTGGCTTATAACAAACCGTATGAGCATGGGGTTCTCACGTGAGGTTTTCGATCTTCTTCAGAATCGCCTGACGCCTTGAGTAGTTCTAAGGTAGTCCCGATAGGTTCTATTCGAAGTAACTCCAGAAGACCACCCGATTTATTAAGATGGGGCGATATATGTCCCAACAGCTCCATACAAAATTGCTGAATATCAGGAGCCTCCTGGGTAAGTAAAAGAGCCAGTATTGGACCTAGGTTGGCCTCGTCCAGACACGGTTGCCAGACTTCTTTTTCGTTTCGAGCTTCGGCGATCTTTTGAATAACATCCCGCTTCTTGGTAAGAACAAGCCAGGGCAGAGCATATTTTTGTATGTACAGTAGCAGCTCCACCACGCTCATATCTAATAGCTCTGCTAATAGCTTTGTCAGTTTTGGGCGGGTCGTGAGATCCTTGGTTGCGGAGAAGGCAAGATATCTCCAAAACGGTTCAAAGAATTGCCGAATGGCCATACCCCGAGAGCGAGCGAGCTTTACTATCTGCCTAGAGTAAGATGTCTGACGCAACAAAGATTACAACGAAAAACTCGTACCTCGGCAAATGCGGCTGCAGATATGATCATGCTCTCATGCCCTAGATAATCAACTAGCTTCACGAGTACGAGGTTTAGTTGATCATCATCTATAACACTAATATAAACATTTAGTAATCATTTCGAACCGGTGTTGGGTTTCTGCGCTTACCTTCCGACTTGAGACCAAGCTAAAATACAGGTTTCTGTAAGCTGAGGCATGTCTTGATCCGAAAGAGACCGAAGTATGTTGAGAACATTTGCGCAGTTCCTTTGTACGACCTTTGATGTGATGTTTGGATGAGTTGATGTAGATAAAAACACGGTAATAGTTCGTCTAAACCTGTTAGATAAAATTGAATAAATGCTTTAACACTTACTCACCCAGCAGCAATACGAAGCTCTCTAACAGAGCTCTGGAGCGACTTTAAGCACCATTGTGCAGTTACAGAAATTTCTATGTCTAGAAAGTCCAAATCTGTACAGTGCTTTGCGATGCGTCTCATCGCAGTCATCGCAGTTACACGTGGTTTCTGAGATTCGAGGAAACTTGGAAGCTGAACCAACGAAGCAAATATACCTTGAACCGCTTGCTTTGTAGTGAGGTCAAGGTAGAACGACTTTTCGCATGATGATTGTGGAGCCTGGCAATGACAACAGTCGAGTCGCAGGAACTTATCACCTTTCTTCTCATGTATTAAAAGCGTATCATCTGCAGCACAACAGACGTAGCCGAGCAAGTCGATAATTCGGCATAACTCGGATTCAGATAGTTCTTGGAATTGTGTCCTGTTACTATATGTAAGTAAAATATAACCGACGATGCAGGTAACTAAATAAACATACTCTAAGATAGGCTTTAAGTCTGCGAGACTCGCCAGGGGCTCAACCCCAAGTAAATGCCATAAGCGAGTGGTCAATTTGGATAACGACAGCGAATCAGCCGAGACCTTTCTTCGCTTCGACTGCCGCTCAGATTCCGTAGCATCTGCGACTTCTATGTTCAATTCATTAACCTGCTGGCGGAGTGCTTCGTCGGAAAATTGGTCGGTCTGCGCCACGACACCTAGCGAAGTAGACACAGGAACAGTAGCCACTTTCCGAAGCAGCTCTAAACACCTCTATACTAGAATTAGCATGTCCTTGTCCAATATTAGGTTGATACTCACCCATAGATCAGTACCAGAGATAGCAACCTCATTTCCCATTATCGGCTTCTCAAGGGCGGGTATCAGCTGCGAGGTAACGAGTCGCGATATTGGTTCAGATTGTAGACAAGTCTTAGCCACCTTGCCAAGTGACCTACAGAGCAATTGGTACTCGGAATTTCCCTGCTCGTCAGCTATAAGTCGTCCTAGAGAATGGCTTGACATTTCCATGCAGAGAAGGACTAGTAGCGTAAATGTTTTCTGCTGAATACAGGTATCAAAGCCATTGGTCGTTTCGATGGCCCCAAAAAATTGCAAGGCATTTTCTAAGAGGAAGGGGAGAACACTAGGAAATATGTATTGCCATCGAACCTGTGTGTCGTGGAGATTAAGATAAGCGTCAAACAGCCAAGGAATATATTCCTGGAAACTAGACATGATGTCGAATTTAGCGTACTGTTGCGTTAGAGGTGTGGATATGATAGAGAGAAGGCAAGTGGCATGTTGTAGAGCCTGCGATGCCAAAGGTATAACGTATGTACATTGTTGTTGAAGTAGCTTTAAGTCTCCACTAGCAATAGACATGAGAAACGGTTCTGGGGGCAATTGTAAGTGAATAGGGATATCTCGGTTCATCGAATTGGTTTTGAGCCCCTTGAAGTGTTCCATGATAGCTGTATAAATTATCAGCTGAGACCATCTCTACGGAGCCAAAGCAACTACACGCCTACCGTTGAAGCATAGCTTAATATATGTAAGGAGCTGTGGTAGGACAGGCCACAGAACCCCAGTATGAGAGGCAGTCAAAAGAATTTCATGGAAGAATAGCTCGATCTCGCCTCTTAGATCAGCGCAATGGCCGTTCCCAAGCATTTTCAAGACCTTCGGGAAGATCCACAACCACAATGGTTCGCCTCCCCTGAAGAGGAACGAAGCTGGGTCGGATGTTGCAGTCAGGACTTCTGGTGTTTCTCTGATAGTAATCTTCAAAAAATTCACAGCCTTTAATGCATCTGCGCGTAGCTGAACTCTGTCGGCAAAGGGGTCATCCCATCTAAGGCCTTCTAGAACAACTCGAGTATAGACATAGATCAACATGTGATTATGTTCCATTCGCTCTTTCGCGGTTCTTAATAGTTCAGGCTTATTCTTAACTTCTTCTATGATGCCGAAGAACTTCTTTAACTCTGCTGTCTCATCCGGTCGAGAAGAGCGCGTCGAAGCAGAGATATTTTCCACCAGCTGCGCGGCCAGAGTCGACGGTGGCGGGCCATTATTATTGTTCACGGAGCCATTCGCAAGGCTCTCACGGCCATTTGGACCAACTCTTCCATGAGATGTAGGAGCCATAGTGTTGGTGTTATTACCTTAGATCATCAGCCTGGTCTAAGACGAGAAAGGGCTGAGTTTGCGTATTAGAAGTTGGAGACGCGTTATACGCGAGTTTAATCGTCGCGAAATCACGTGATTTTAATTTAAATCTTTGGATCTTTGAACACAATCAAGGCGGGGTCACTGTACGAAGTACAATGGATATGCATGTATGTACGTACCTTAGGTACCTAGGTACATGCATCATGCAGCTTCCGTTGCAATACATAAGCGCATTTTGCAATTGATGTCATGCCACTCGTTTCTATATTCCATACTTCTCAATGCCAACATCAGCCTCTACACCCATTGACTGGTCCTGATCTGACTTGAAACCCGTTCTACGATTTCATTTACCTCGCCCGTTCGCAATGGCGATATTTCAAGCAAAGAAATATCGGAGTGCCGCCGATGCCGGCACGTTTGCCGCGAAATACCGTGCTATGATGGCGAAACACCCGTTCTTGCTATTCGGGCTACCATTCATGTCTGTTATCGTAGCTGGATCCTTTGTGCTAACACCTGCCACGGCCGTACGATACGAGAAACATGACCGACGAGTTAGACAAATGACGCGGGAAGAAGAATTAGGAGTCGGTAGAACAGGGCGGAGAGTCAATATGAAGGACGAATATTATGTTAGTTCTCCCTATGAAAGCTTCAGCCTCCTTTATTCTATATTTCCGAAAGATTATTCTAACGTATACGTATACAGAGGCTCGCTGCTAAAGACATAGATAACTGGGAACAGAAGCGTGTCAAGAGACTTCCTGGAGAGCACGACGGCGTGTTATAAAAATGTTCAGCCTACGGAACAACTTCACAGTCGATTATTAGCAATGCCATACTAAAACTCAGGATTCGATATGCTTATTTTAGAGCATCTGAGTTGATCACGATATGAGCGGTCCGTATATCAGGGGGCCACTTCGAGCCCAAATAAATCCTCAGGCCCGACTACTCAATTATCGATTCTGATGAAATACTCGTAGTAGTTGTGGTAAAACTACACAACGACTAAGAATAAATACTTCCCTCGGTCACCCTATTACTATTATAATAGCTTAGAGTGGTTTCTTTGAAAGCTTCATGTGTTGTCTTGATCTAGGCCGATGCGCTAGAGGTTATATCGCGCGAGATTCCACGATTCATCCAAAGACTAAAGTTCGGGAGTCGGCCGATGATTAGGGTTGGACCACTTTCATGCTTTCTACCGCCACCCACAATGGACCTAGAAGAGCCTGAAGAGGGGTAGCTTGAGCTCTCAATGTCAGCTAGGTATGCTTTATAGTGCGAGAGATGTACCCAATGTATTCAGTCCTGCCACTACATATCAAACATAATACGCATCAAATACGAAATATTGATTGCCTGCAGTCTTATCAGCAGCCATTCTCGGCATTGCAACTGTTCGGTTTTACTCAACCCTTGACTACCTACCAGTCATTGCAACCAGTCCTAAGAGGGTATAGACAATGCAAGCTTTAGCTCTATACTATGATTTAAAAAGAGACGTGAATACTAGAGCGCCACAATCATTCCACAGCTCGAAGAAGTCTCCACGGTAGCTAACTCGGCACATTCGTTTCCGTTCGAAAGCCTTCGCCCTTATCCAATCAGGCATCTACTCCGTTGCTTTAAAGTTTAACTTGCAAGTAGGTTTATACTTGGAAAGTTCCTCTAGTCCTCGTCACTTGTTTATCTAGATACCTTAAATTCATCCTAAAGCCTGACTTGTACATTGATAATACGCGCGGATAAGACATATACAAGAATCTAGCAACCACTCAAGATCCCAGAATCAATCTCCGCAGGCTTACTATGTCCCATCGGGATTAAGGTAGACACGCGATAGACCTAGCTGCTGGGACGAGCGTTAGGTTAACCCGGAACTTCTCGGCATTGGATACACCAAAATTCTAGGTGAGAAAAGTTTAATGGCATCGCCCAAGTCGCCATGGAAAGCAAAGGAAAAAAAAGAAAAGTCTAAATAAAAGTTCTCTAGCTAGCGCGGAGGAATTCTGATTTGAAATCACTCGCGATTGGACAATATCGGACTTTACTTATTGTACGCTATCGAGATGTCCCCAGTAGAAACAGGCTGAGAACTAATTAATGGTTAGTTAGGTGACATCAGCGTGAGTTCACTCACATTCAGCCGCACACATAAAGTTTTCATCGAAGCATCGCTTAACAAGCGCTGGACTTGACGTCTAGATAAGAGATAATGATAATTCAATATATCGCCAATGAGGTTCAAGGGATTGCTTAAAGCCGATGAGACTATAGATAGTGTAGACGAGATGGGAAAAGCGTGATATATAGTATCAAGACGCCGGCAATAATTAAATCAATTAAGTTTTATACACTACTGAGCCGGGCTGGCCGGTTCTTGAACATCCCCACATGGCTCAGCCGAAGCAGGCTAAAGTTGCAATCGGCGATGCGCCAACAAGGATCTGCAAGATTATCCAGACTGATGGGATCATGAGTACGACATGGGTAGGTAGATAGCCTTGCATAACCCTTCGTCTGCCTCGGCAATACGATGATAATACGAAAAACTGCAACAAGAAACGGACGATAACTTCGCTTGTACTGTATAACTCGATCCCAAGAATTAAACACTTCTCATAGACTCAGCCTGATTCGGTCCACAACACGAGGAGGGAGACAATTAGTGTTCATAGCATTCATTCCCTTTTCCCCATTTAATCCATCCCTCCTCTCTACATACATACGCCAATCTACCAAGGTTCGTCCGGATTCTGAGACAAGCAATGTGATGATTGGCGGGCCTATGACGGATGCAATTCATAGAATACATAGCAGCCACATGCCGCTATTGATCAATGACGCATCCGGTCCACACACACTACCAAGAAGCTAAGCCAAGGAAGAACTGTAATAGTCTTGTAGGTATACCAGGTCTTGTGGGCAATAAGCTTTATATTCGCCTTAAGACTCATCCAAAAGTACATTTGTAGTAAGACTTCCTTAGCTGACCTGGGATCCACCGTCCGCATTCTTTCGCAAGCGTAGAAGGAATCGAGCTAGCTGCAATGTACTAGGTCTCCTCTTTTCTCTTCGCCGGATCTTCAGGGACGGTCTGTATGGATCACGGAATGGCTATTAAAATACCACACCCTCCTGCGCCCCGGATCTCATCCTTGAGCTGAATAAAGGCGAAGCTTGGCTTTCCAACATACAACACAGCTCGACTCCTCGGGACTCTCCAACTATCAGCTTTAGCAGCTGGTATATACTGTGCAACCTAACATAAGCCTCACCGCTTACCCACGACATCCGACTACGACACGCAGTAGTATCTCTTCTTTACTTTCTTACACTCATTCGTATTCCTTCACATCGAAGAGAGCATATACTACACATCCTATATCTGTCTATCCAGATAACCCCCACAACGGTCACGATGCGAGGCCTAAATAAATCAACTCTCTTTCACAAGAGATCCAAGGGCAGCCTTCAAGACAGGAAGGACAGCCTCGAAGAGCACTCTTCCTCTCACGCGCGGAATCACGCGCGGAAATGGAGTACATCGAGCACCGTCTCGGCGGCGAGCAGCTCTCCTGATACTAAGCTGTACGACCCGCTGTCGCTACACCCACCCCTAAGTCTCAACACATCACCAAACATTATCCGGGAGTACGAAGAGAAACGGTACCTAGAGGAAGAGGAGCGGGAACGCCGGTTTTTAGAACGGACGCCGCAGCACCCTGCGGAACATCTAGATAACGCGGCCGAGTACTCACCACTCAAAGATCGCAACTGTTTCTTCATGCGGCCTACCGGCGGCCGCCCTTACGTTTATGACCAGAGTGTTCAGTGGCCACTTAAGGACTGGCAGGCGATCCCGCCAGGCCTCGCCGAGCTCGACTCTTCATCACCAGCTTCATCACAAGCCTCATCGCCCACCCAGCCCTCTAACAACCGGCGACGGCCGAGGGAGTGGATGAACGAGAGAGACGCCCTATTCAAGCGCGGCGACTGGAAGCGCAGGGGTATAGTGTTCCACCTCGACCCGGACGATGAGGAGGAACAAGAGCAGCACTTTGAACTACCTGAGTGTTAAAGCATTCACATTATCATATTACCATCCCACATCACACCACCAAACTCTAACTCATTCGACACTATGTTTTACTATTTTCACTACTCTATTATTACAACTCCTACTAGCACCAGGGACAAACTCGCAGATTGTGCTTCGACAAAATTTACGGGAAGGACCGGGGAAAGGAATAAGGAATCAAACAGGACGGCGATATTACACGACAAACAACGATCTACGGAGGAGGAGGGGGTTCATCTTGGGGTACCTGTGCCTAACTTTCTTGTACATCTTATATTCTAGGGCTGCATTATTCAGGGTGTAAAACGGTGCAGGGACAAAGATACCACTTGACATTAAAAACTATTTCCTCCTTACACATTACATTACACTACATAGCTTAGTTTTACTTTAATCATGTACCATTAGCATAGCTTCATTCAATCCGAAGTTTACCTTCCATCTTCATCTTCATCTTCATCTTCATCTTCATCTTCATCTTCATCTTCATCTCATCATCGTCGTTTTCATCATCATGCTTGGCTCGGCCTATCCCCGCTCTCGGCATCTTCGGCGGGGTTCGTGCTGTGAGAATAGAGCAAGATGCCTCGTTTAGGGAAACATACCTAGCAGCTGAACCTAGCTCGTCGCTTACCCGTCTGTTCTCCAGGTCCTAGCATCGGCGAGAGCTAGTCTACCTAGTCTAGCCCAGCTGGAAGCTGTAAGCCGCAATCGGCTAGATACGTTAGCTGATGGGGTGTGTGGCGGCTGACGTTTGCGTCACACGATCGTTCGTATGCGTGTCTTACCGTGATGTCTGCCTGTCTCTCTGTCTCAGCTCATGGCCCTAAGCTTAAGTGCGTACATACATAATCGCCTAGCGCTAGATAGGGTGCCTTGCGGGCAAGACAAGACAAGTCAAGACAGGACACATTCGGGCGTAACTTCGTACGGCCCCTGCGTAAGTCCCCGGCGGTGCACATTAACGCATGACAGCCTGTCGCCCTAGCCTAGGGCCAAGACACGATTGGCATTTCTCGCTTGCTACGGAGACTAGGTCCGGACAGGTACGAGATAGTTTCAGCAATTCCAGGTACGATCGGGACCTGAGTAGTGATGGAGATAAGTATCCTATGAGGTACATACAAAGGCAGATGCCGAGGAAGAGCGCGATTCGAATCGAGACTCGAGCGCCACTTTATTCATATATGCCTTATCAATGTCTCGAGCCCCTCTCTCAATTCGAATTTCTACGATCGAGATTGAAAAGCAAGGGCGGCTAGATAGAGAGAATGATCTACTTCCCGTTGTCGCCGCCAACGTTTATCGTGGGAGACTGCAATCGATATATTCCTCGTCCGATCTAAAACATTGAAACCGACGATTTTCATCGGACTTGCTCAACTCCCATAATGAATGTCTCAAAGCCTTTGACGATTCAGAAACTTCCTCACTTCTACTACGGAGCATTGCGTCTGGTTGTGAGCTGTTTGACTTTTATTATGGTTACCTGCCTACCATAGGTAGCTAGCCAGGGACTGTCCGGGATAATGGTAGACCGTGGGATCTCACGGTTAGCGGGCTGTACACGTTCCGGGATTATTACTCCGCGACGTTATGGTTAGACAGATCTAAGTCTCGATGACATGTGAATAGAGTCGTACGAGTGAATTAAATCCGCGGTTAGTGAGTAAGCTTTTCAACTTCGAATTTGCTTGTGAGCGAGGTCTTTGAGCTCCAATATTTTCAACAATTCAGCCCAGTTTTCCAATTTGTTATATAATTATCAAATAGGTGCCCATTATTATACTCGAACAGAAGTCGATCCAGCGATTTACAGTTCAGTTCAGCGTATAGGGATGATTCCTACTTAGCTAGAAACCGAAAACTGCTAGAGGCCAACAACATGAGTTGATAAACCTGTAATTGCGAATTTAAGCAACACACAACAAGGTCCTTAATTAGGTAAGTTAATGCGTGGTATCAATTAAATGTAAGAAGTAACTACTTAAATCATATATCACAACTACGCCGGCAGATATCAACTCTTCAAAGCCAACCTCGATATATCAGCGCTCAACTCCCTCCCCTGAATCATCTCAGCCATAACCAAGCCCGTCCCCAAACTCATACTTATCCCCCAAGGCCCATGTCCGGTCGCAACATACACTCCTCCTTCAGGACCCGGCCGAGTGCCAATAGAGGGTCCAAGATACTCATCCGGCACACGACTCAAAATCGGTGTACCGCGCTCTGTCACGGGACGGAAACATAACCCCTCTCTCACAACCTGTATGTCGTCCTCACCTAACACTTCATTCGCCGTCTGCCTCAGCGTATCGATACTCGATCTCGAGATCCTACCTTTCGAGTCTGTCGCTAAGTCCGGCAGCGGCTCGGTCGCAGAGTTCAACCCCGCGATGTATATATGACCGCCGATGCGCGACATGATCTCAGGCGAGTACCCCGGACTACTAGTCAGGAATAAGGCATGACAGCCGCCGTGTTCATGCTCGCTTTTCCACTTAGGCGAAGTCACTACCAAAGAATGACCTGCGAGGCTTGACACCGGCAGCTTGAAGTTAGAAGTTGGGAACAGCGTCTTGAAGACCTGTGACGACCAAGCACCGGCTGCAATAACAACATTGGTGCAGGGGATATCCGTCTCAGTGCTAGACTGTGTGTCCGCAATGCATATACTCGAAAGCTCATCGCGCACGTCGGTTTGTATGGATATTGCCTTAGCAGGGTGGTGTAAGTGCACACCGGCGTCGATGCATTTCTGCAACAGGAACTGAGATAATTGCAACGGATCTCTGGATCTCACGATCAGAAATCTACATTTGAATTATACATACCTTACGTGGATTATAGGAAACACTAAGCTATGAACTCACACTTGCGCAACAGTCCCCTCCTCACTTATAACCTCAACAGCATCGCCCTCCCCCTTTCTCAGCCACGGCGGCGCCACACCAGCCGACGGACTCGCACTCGCAGCTTCTGCACGACTAGCGCCATCGCGAACCCAAAGGTCGATCCTCTTCTTGGACCTGGTAGCTGGCGACAGGCTAATAGACGTGCTCCGCGCGTAACCCCATTTCTGCGCGCCGCCCTCTTTCTCGGCAAGCTTGCGATGTTCCTCGAAGCTCAATGCGCCTAGGTCTGCCGAGGCGGGAGAAAACCAATCCTTCGCTAGAAATCCACCTGCGTAACCGGAGGCCGAAGCGAACAGTTCGGGCGAAGGTTCGACGAGATGGATGCTGGATGCTGGTTGGTGCTTGGATAGGTAGTAAGCAATTGAAGTACCGATGATACCTGTACCTAGTATTGCTGTCGTGGCCATGACACCAACATACCCTTTAGTTCTTTCATGAACCAAATTTAATATTCATGAAGTCTGCAAGAGTAAATTCTAGACGGTAATATCAAGGCAATGCCAGATGGATATAGTATTATACCTTGTAAATAGTTAAAAGGGTATTTGTATATGGAATTATGGAATATATCAACGTATGCATAATCTGCTAGGTAGTGACGTCTGCCCCGCAGTTCCGAGAAAGGAGAAGAAGAAAAAACAAGACTAATAAAATAGAAAATTGAGCAATATATCTACTTCATAGTTTGACAACCTTGCCTATCTATAAACCAGTGACATTTACTGGGAAATATAAATCAACAATAGAGCGGCTCACTTGCCTTACTATATCTCCTTTCAAAGACCTTAAAGCCACCATGTCAAAAGTGTTTATTGTTACTGGTGCGAGCCGAGGTCTCGGCTTAGCTGTAGCACAGGCCTTAATCCAGGCTTCACACAAAGTGTTTTTGGTTGCTAGGACTGAGAAGGAAATGCAGACGTTGAAAGCCCAACATTCATCATCTGTCGACTTCATAGCAGCAGATCTAGCAGACCTTAAGGTGTGTCCGAACTTACCAGCTCTCAAAGCTATGAGATTATCATTATGAGGGTAAATAGCTCACTTTCGCTGTAGGTTGCACCCAAAATCATCGAATCGGCGCTAAAATCTTTTGGCAAGATTGATGGTATCGTTGTCAATCACGGCGTCATATCTCCTATCACAAAAATATCCGAATCAAGTGCTGAGGAATGGAGAAAAGCATATGATATCAACGTATTTAGTGCTGTAGCATTGGTACGCCTACCAGACCAGGCCGTGGTAGTACTAGTATTGACTCTAATTACAGATTAAAGAAGCCATTCCCGAACTTCGAAAATCAAAGGGACGAGTTATCTTTGTCTCTTCTGGAGCCGCGTTTGGCGCATATGCGGGATGGGGCTCTTATGGTACCTCTAAGGCAGCTCTGACTCACTTTTGCAGGCATCTGGCTGTTGAGGAACCTTCTATTACTAGCATTGCGATTTCACCCGGGAAGCTCGATACTGATATGCAGAAAGAAATAAGAGACACGGGTAAGGCTGGAATGACACCGGAAGCTTATCAGAGCTTCGTCAACGAACACGAGAGCGGACTGCTGGTGGATCCTAAAAAGCCAGGCACTGTCATAGCCAAGCTGATTAACAATGCACCCGGAGATCTAAGCGGCAAGCATTTCAAGTACGTAGCAGAAAAGGCCCCGTCTGAGATACTAGTATACTAATGTGTATACAGATGGAACGCGACCGATCTTGCCGAGTTCCAAGAGACCTAATGCAAGGACAACCCGCGAAATAGGCACTAAGACTATACAATAAGTTAGCTAGGATACTTTTTGGTTGTACTAGAGAAAGAACAAGAAGATAGCTTCAGCCGAAAGATGAAAAGATTCGGTTGTTTCAACATTATGATTCAGGAGCACGTTAAATCATCATAAGCAGTTATGTTTGGAATTTAGATGTTTGCCATACCTTACAAGAGTTATATTTCGAGTTCCATAATCGGTTCAACAAGATAAAAACCATGTTTATCTTGGTACCTATGTATAACAAGCAAATTAGCCTCTTACGCCTTTCAGTTAATACAATCCTTTCATTATACAGCGGGAGCGTGGTCGGTCAGGTAGTAATGGGGTCCGTCATGTAGAGTCGGTATTTGATAGTACTTTTATTATTTGGCATCATATTCGAAGAAGCTATGGGATAGTTGGTATGAGTGCGTTATATATACCTTTTTCATACAATCAATGCAACCTGCAAGTCCACTGTTAGTAGATGATAGCGGGAAAATGTCTTGTGCGTAAAATTTGAATAAAATAAACTCAGAATGTCGTTTGGCTAGACGTGTCAATCACCATATTGCCATTAGGCTATAGTAAGACTGGGGCGACAACGTGCTCATCATAGAAAGGGTGATATATGATTCCAGAAAAACGTACCTTTAAGGATGCAATACATAGATTGTTGCTGCTTCGTAGTTTCATAAGACAAAGGAAACCCCTAGGAAAATACTTCAGGAGGCATGGTACACAAGTATACCACCAAAGATCCTGGTGAAGATTGTAAAATGTTGATACTCTTGGGAAGAAATTAAAACGAAAGTTTGATGAAGAAAAGAAGAAAAAAAAGTTTTTATCGGGCGGTAGATAAAAAATAAAGTGGACCATTACGCCACAGTGACTTTCTTCCATCAGCCACAGTACCCACCGGTGTGCCGGCTGTCTAAGGTTGCAGTTTCGATACAAAACATCGCTGCATCCTCTTAACGAAGGTGCGAGGTAGTTGCCTTGCGTTTCTTACTCTTATTTATCTCGTCCACAAAATTCTTTAAACTTTTCACATCATCTCTTACATCTTGATTAATCTGTGAACTAAACAAGGGAATACGCGATCGAAATTGTCGCGTACGGATATTATCAATCATTTCTCACAACCCCCCACTTTCCCTTCAACCCATCTTCACCATGTCGGATCATGAGTACGGCGGTAAGTTTGTTATATCTATTTTAGTCTTATGATTCCAACTCTTCCATTTCCTCGCAATGAGATGGACACAAACCACATTGGCCATAAACTTTCCGAATGGGACGGTGAATGAAGCAAACTTCATTCATTGTGATTCAGGACAATGACGAGGCCTGTATCACTGTCCCAATACGCATCCCAACTACTCGAGGCTTGGTCCATTTCTTAGTCTACCAAGCGGATGGCTACTACCACAACAATAGGAAATAAATTCAATATTAAATAGAATGACTCCTATCATGGTCACGCGTATTACTGTATCAAACAGAAGCTCGCTATCCTGGTTAATGTCTTTTGGTTACATATATCGCTGCCTGTCCATCCCTCCCAAAAGAAAGTAGGACCTATCTCGCAGACATACCATCAACTTCTACTACAAAGCCGACGTCTATTGCCATATACAACTTTATTAAAATCCACGGGATGGGACGCCCTAAGAAAGACACTTCCTGGGATTTTCCGAGCCATTTTGGTACTGACCCGAAGCCACGCTTATCTTTCTTTATTCCCTTCTTAGCCTTCTTTCACCTTATAAAGCTTCCAACCAATAACTAACATCTCTTTAGGCAGCGATGATCTTTCCCTCCCCAAAGGTACGTGGTAAACCTCTTGTTGTCGCCACCAGTTGGTTTGTATACTAATAGAATCCAGCGACTGTCCAAAAGATAGTCACCGAAATTCTACCTGCATCGAGCGGCCTCTCCTTTGCCAAGGAAGCTCGGGATCTGCTTATCGAGTGTTGCGTGGAGTTCATCACTCTGGTGTCTTCGGAAGCTAACGAGATCTCCGAGAAGGAGGCGAAGAAAACAATCGCGTGCGACCATATCACCAAGGCACTGGAGACCCTAGGGTTTGAGGACTACATCCCCGCCGTTCTTGAGGCTGCGGCACAACACAAAGAGACACAGAAGGTTTGGTAGCCCCCTAATTCTTCCTACTGCGGTCCAAACTCTAACTATCGCAGGTCCGGGAGAAGCGTGGAAATAAATTGGAAGACAGTGGCATGACTCTAGCGCAACTCGAGGAGATCCAAAAGAAGGCATTCGAAGAAGCCGCCAAGCGATATAATTAAGCCTTTTGGCAGGGCTCCGGCGCATTCGTCTGTAAACTCCGGTATTTATTAGAGTAGGACTTGCCTCTTTGTCTGCTAGGACAGAAACCCGGTTATCACACCCCCGACATAGTGACGATAGGAGACGAAGCATCTGATGGCGTTGGTTTGAGGAAATGCGGAATACTTATTTATGATATTGGCGTTAAACACGGTTACACCTTGGTAGCAGGAATAAAGACGAGGAAATATTAATTTGTAACCTGCTCTTTACTGATTATATTCGTGTCGTGAGTAAGTCTTATCGGACGCCGCGACTTATACCCCTTTCTTTAGCACGATTGGTTTATTTTCGCCCTAATTCGACGTCCGGTCTGAATCGTGTTTATGAGTCTGAATATCCCTCTATCATATTTCGGCCTTGGCTTGTGCCTACGAGGTATGGGTATATCAGGTACCTAAGGCGCTTAGGATACGTTATCCTATACCTAGACGCAAGCCTCATAGTGCTCACTGACGTTACACGGAGTAAGATTCAGATCTATCTATACGTTAGGTACGCAACAGTCTTATTCTCCTTTCAAATCTGAAAAGACACTTTAATCTTGAGCTTATAATTCAAAGGTTTAGACGATCTATTTCAGTACTCCAATGATTCCCTCTATCTACATAAGGATGCGAGCATAAAAATGCCTAACGTGAAGGCTACCAATCGGCGATGGCAACGTTGCTTTAGATGTAGGCGTCTAAGCCAGGCAAGTAGGCTCTGGTATTGCTAAGCCACAACGACTTTCTCTGCCTGTATTCGCTGCACGGGTCAGCCTGCATATCTCGCCGTGGGCAAGAGGCATAATAAACTCCAAGTCCACCCACCTCCCCGAATAACCCATTTTCTTCTAACTTCATCTATTCCGTATCAGCTAAGTAGAAATAACAATATTCTCCATAGCAATATGGAAGTAATTTCAGCAATCGCAAGCTTCATTGCGATCGGACAAGCACTTGCGGCTGCGCCAAAGATCATTAATATATTACGATCTGTAGTCGGGGCTAGGCAGGAGATGCTTCAGCTCCTTAACGAGGTCAGTCGTCCCTTGTGAGACCAGACCATTTCACAGTAGTTCTAGCTAAAACTTCCAGATCGAATTACTAAACGAGTTTGGTATTCTCATAAGAGAGACAATCCAGCATCTACCGCCACATGACGATCCAAGATTTCAAGTACCCCAACGCGCCTTGTTACCAAGGATCGAGACTAACGTGGCATCGATTGTATCGCAACTCGACGAGCTTTGCCGTGAATGCCAGCGGGAGGGGAAGAAGCCCGACCAAGTTAAAGTCTCTAGAGTAAAATGGCTCTGGTATAAAAGGAAAATCACTTCACTGAGCGGAAGGGCGAAAGAGAATCGCGAGTACTTACAGCTGATTCTCAATTGCACTTCCCTCTTTGCGTCAACGTATGTCTAATATGGTTCCTTGCTCTGGGCACTGGTTTCATACTAACCCGGCTCAAGATCCAATGGGAAGATGCTCTTAGATATTCACACAATAGTAACAACTCAAGTACAGCAAGCAATCCTCACCCCGCCTCCTTTGCAGTTCATCGACCAGGAACATCATGACAATGAGAGTGGAACTCGCATTATTACCGACGATGATAGCTCTGAGGCGATAGCTAGTAGTATCGATACTACCATGACACAAGAAATGTCTTCGCAACTGACTTTATCAAACGTGTCCAGAGAGGGCCCGCTGTATATGAACTACAATTCGGAACCGATCGGGAATCATGAGCCCATGGTACAAATCACGGCTGCGTTGCGAAGAGCCTGCACCAAAGATTGTGCATGCCAATGCCACTCATCTACTTCCCGAATCAGACCACATCCTGCCACCTCAGTCATATACGGATGGCTTAAGTCTGTTTATAATGGTGCTCCACGACTCGGTGCGCAGAGTTGTGATGTGCGTACCTGCCAACGGGCTCGCTCACCTCGTCACTTCAACTTTCGCGTTCCTCTCCTCTTCTGTTCTCGGGCGCTCGAAGCGACTTTGTCCTTTAGTAGTATTACCGGCGCCGGTGCTTCCCTTCACCTACGTGTCCCACGCATGCTTCCGACTAATAATGCATTTATTTTTCATTATAAGAATAAAAATTACGACGGGATGCTTTGGGAGTTATCTTACAGTAGGTTATCTCCTCTTGACTGTATTGGGAACTATGCTATTCTATATGTAAGCTGGCCCTTCCTCATAAGAACGATTCACAATAATAATAATATGTACTAGAAACTTCTCGATTCAAGACATATATATGTAATACCAACCCTCTTAGACGGCGCGAGGTCAATTGTTAGGGGCACTGATACTGGAAAGTAAGTGTTTTGAAGCTCCATTTGGCAGATAGATCTGTTCACATGTTCTTACCAAATCGTAGACAAGCAGCAATAATAGCTAGAAATTGGATGGGCTTCAACGATCTGGACAACAGAGAGCAGGCCATCCTACGAGAAGTCATTGCACTTGATGACGAAAGTGCGTATGATTCCTGGCCAGTTCATGAGGCAATACGAACCGGCGGTAATTTAATCGAAGCTCTAAAGGAGTCACCAGAAGACATCGACGTACTTGATGACACTGGAAACACCCCTCTACATCTGGCCGTGGTAAGACGTGATAATGCGGCGATGCAAATTTTAATATCCCATGGTGCAAACATGAATTCTGTTGATATATTCTATGATACGCCGTTAATGTTAGCGACAAGGTCCTTATACTACGATCGAGCTCGGCTTTTGATTGACAGCGGGTGTGATATAAATTTTGTTAATGATTGTGGTCAATCGGCTCTCTATCTTGCGACAAGGTCCCGATCAAAAGGATCAGGAAAGACCACCAGTTTGTTACTACATCGTGGTTCTAGCACTTTTGATTGTGAGGGAAATGCACTACACTGGCTCGCGGAGCGGAGGGAGGCGGCTGATATGGAGGAGAAGTTTCATCTGTTTATCCGTGCTGGGGTAAACGTTGAAGAGAAAAATATTGATAACCATACAGTTCTGATGGAGGCGCTTTACGGTAGAAACGGACATATGCTTCGCTTACTAGTTGGTGCTGGCTATAGGTTCGATGAATCCCCAAGTAATAGGAACGCCTTGATGGAAGCTGCGTGGGATGGTTATACGGAAAGTATTGACATCCTAGAACAAACCGAGTTCACAGCAGACGTGCGTGTGCGGGACGAAGAGGGATGGACACCATTAGAAATATTTGAATGGAGAATGGAAAGAGATCCGGTGAAAGATCCATTCTACCCTCTTCTAGAAGACGATATCGAATCATTTTGGAAGTTGCTCCAGGGTGTCAGGGACCGCTACCTAGCCGCCGAGATTCAGACTTTGGAAAAGGTCATCACGCATATCGAGGCCGGAGAAACAAAACTTGCGCTCGAGACTCTCCAATCCGTTATACAGGAAAAGATAGGCTGGAATATTCCAGCTGAGTACAGGACCTTCCGAGCCATCGATGTCCAGATAAAAGAGGAGATGGCAGAGGCTGCCATTGAATCTCTAGAGGAATTCATTGAGGTGTCTGAGGAGATGATTGGCTCGCACCCTCAAGACGGTGACTACTTTTATAGCGATGGTGCTTGGAACCAAGGGCTGGTGATCCAAGATGCGCTATAGATTATAAGAAGTCTTGCATGTGAGACTTTGGATCTGGCGGTACACGCTCATCGCTAAAGGATGTTGGCGAACGGAGAAAGAGGTATTTCTGCATGGACTAGTTCGATCCTTACCAGGTATTCACGAATCATGATTATTTCCTCATGTTTTCTTGTAATATACTCAAGCAATATACCGATCTACCTTATTCAAATACCACCTATGGTGTCTTACTTTGACCACTATGAGAGTTCCCGAGGCACGCGATATTGTTACTTACTTCGCCTTCATAGGTACCCACAACTCCTATTTATACTAGAGGTCACCCCCTGGGTAACACAAAAGCCTAAGGTTTACACCGCATCATATTATTTTACCAATAGGACCTGAAAGAGTAATCCAGGTTAGAAAGGCTTAAATGATCATATACCTTTCAATGTTAGATGTTAATAGCCTCATGGGCCTAGAGAAGCCAGCCACGGCGTTACATACACACACACACACACACACACAGAGAGAGAGAGAGAGAGAGAGAAACCAAAAATATAAACAAAGGTAAAAAAAACATAATCGTGTAAGGCAGGAAAAGTTTCGCATAAGGGAGCAAAGCATATGTCCTAAATAGAAAATTTTTACTCGCATTTAACACAATATCCTAAGGTAAACCTTAGGCAATTAAGTCTTCTAGAATGTTACTAAGACTGTAGATAGAGTCTGCTATATATATGTTTGTGTGTGTGTGTGTGTGTGTGTGTACAGGCGTGCATTCGAAGCAGTTAAATTCAAATCTTACTTGCTTACCTCATATTAGGTAAAGAGGTAGGTAGGTATTCGCAACTACGAATACCGATCCTACACCACGGTACACAACATACACCCATACACTCAGTAAGCATCACAAATAAGTCAAATAGCAATAGAGCAGTAGTTATAGTCATAAATCGTAATCAATTTCCGTACCTTACTCAACAGCAGTCTAGATACAGCATATAGACATAAAAAAAATAACGACACCATTCAATCATCATCCTCATCTCGATTCCCCTACACGCAAAGAAAACAACAGACCAAATTACCTCCGCCATCTGCCTGCCCTGCTTATATCTTAAAACGTCTTCATAACCCCGTGATGTCATCTTCGTGATAGGTACCGAAAAAAAAAGGTATGGAATAAAAAAAAAAGGGTAACATGTGCTGCGATTAACTTCGCCCTTGGAACTAGTACCACCGTCGTGAGGTATATATAAACTTGTATATAATACGCTGTCGGCGAAGTTAATGTTTAAGACTGTCGCCGTGGTATCTGCCTCATTTCGTGTTTGGAGAGTGGTGTTCTCGATGGCGTTGGGTGTTACCGGTTATCCCCGCCACTACGGTCTACTGTTCTCGCCTGAAAGCTGAAAGTCGAGAGAACCCAACTATAGCACGAGGCAGACACGCCTAATCATAGGATATAGAATAATCCGTGCCGTGAGTAGCGACTTAACGGGCATACCCGCGGTGCGACGGGCGATCATACACAACCTCACGCTCTACGATGCGCTCGTCATCGACAGTATCCCAGTTCAAGGAATGTCGATGGCGGTGTCGCCGGTCCCAATCGCGGCTCCACTGAGCCTCTTCGGCTCTGCGTCGCTTGGCGCGGCGGATGTCGTCCGACAAGTTCACGAGTTCAAGAACGTCCTCCTATTGAAATATTGTGTTAGCATGCTGATCTTAAAAAATGTGCGACGTGTGACGCGGTGTCACAGAAACGAGAATGAGACTTACATAGCGTAGGTACTGCATAACGTAGAAGAACCACTCTGTCTCCTCATACTCGTACCCCGTCCGTTCGATAGCTTCACGAAGCACGAGATCCTTAGTAATCTCGGTCCACATCTCGCTGCGCTTCCGAGGTGGCGCTCTATCGCCATCGCGGATCGAAATCCGTCGGTCTTGGATCTCCTCAACTTCAACGTCTCGGTCGCGCGATCTCTCTCGTTTATCGTATACTTGTATGCTGAGCCGGTCTCGTTCACCTGATGGCTCGCGTTCCCGAAAAGATTCTCGAATTGTTTCTCGAATTGGTTCACTTACGGCGCTGATAGGTGTTCCCTCCCGCTCAGGGATGAACTTAGACCGTCTCACACCGCTGTAGCGCTGCCAGGTCACTTCGGCGGCGGCACCTCCTACACCATCCATTTTCACGCGCTCCGTGCCGGGCGGCACGTCGACGATTGTCCAGTCTTTAGTAGCGCCATTCCATGCCTCTCCCACGCGACCCCGTGAGTCGAGCTTATCGGTGATGTATTCAGCTTCATCCTCATAGTCTGGTTTTGGGGGTGGTGCAGCAGAATGAGCTCTTCGTCGAGAGTCCACACGAAGCATGTCATGATCCCTCTCAATTATCAAGTCGTCCTCATCGTAGTAAGTTGGCTGCCTGCGCGGACGAGGGCGCTCGACGCGCGGGCGAGACCGCGACCGAGTTCGTTCGCGGATATCAACATCTGTCTCATTACGGCGGATATCAATATCGATATCTATGTCCCGCTCTCTAGTTTGAGGCGGTGCAGTACGCGGGGGTGGGGGTGGAGTTGGAGGTTTAGCCCGTATGAGACCTATTCAAATATTAGAATGGGACTGTCTCGGGTTATGGGTTTCATAAATTGGTAAAACTTACCGTGGTCAATGTCACGATAGTGCGTGATGACCTCACGCTCGATTGTAGGACCTCGAATAACTGCTGGTGGGGGAGGTGGTGGCGGGGGTGAAGGACTAGGTGAGGGAGCACGCTCCTTTTCACGTTCAATGCGTAGGCGGATGAGATCCCGATCCCTGTCCGGGGTTGGTGACCTCTCACGTCGCCTTTCAATTGTGCGGGATTCTACTCGCACGGCGGTGGGAGGTGGAGATGGTGATCGTTCGATAAATCTAGGCCGACGCTCCGGAGGCATCGAAGGAGCCCGCTCACGGTCCCTCTCAACAATGCGCTCCCGGTAGTGAACAGGACTGGGGCTGCGAGGACGTCGCCGGTCAACTGTCTCAACTTCACGCTGACGCAGGACTAGCGGTCCGGCTTCTGTCCTTCTAACATCTTCTCTAAGAAATGCAGGAGTGCGGTCATTTCGCTCTCGTTCCCGGTCTTGGACTTGGATATTTATGTCTTCATACTCCCTCACGGGTGCTCTGCGAGGTGGGCTGCGACGTCGCGGTAAGGGCTCAAGATCATCATCCCGAGCCGGTGCCCTCCGCGGTGGACCGGATTCATAATATCTATCGTCCACATCGGACCGACTAGTTCTATAAGACATCTCCAAGCCTTGAGCCTAAAGTAAACTTTGGTTCTTAGGGGGATCGTCTATGGAGTAAATGAAGAGTTGAGTTTGTCAACTGGTGGTGAAGGATTCACCGCTGAGGTGCGTCACTCTGCGGCGGTAGCGGGGTAGAAGAGAAACCTCAATAGCTGTAGGCTGATACGGAAAGGATCAACACCAAGAATACTGTAGGCTGCGTGTCGCGGTATTTCGACCTGGAATCTCCTGAAGTATTAACTTCCTAGTAGAATAGCTTGATGGTTTAACAGTAGTTGGAAAAAGTGAAAGTTCAGTCTGAGTTATTAGAGCTGAAGGTTGTCAGAAGGACCTCAAGCTGATGGGGGGGTCACAAGATTTGTAGGCCGGGATTTGCGCCGTTTGCTTGTACTGTAAACTAGCTAATAAGGCCTCATCGGATTGGGTGTCAATGGTGTCAAAGCAGTGATACAAAACTGACAGGTTCGCGGAGAGAAATGCCAGATGTCGTCGCAAGTTAAAAGTGCAATTCTGAACTGGAGAGAAGCTAAGGGAAGACAAACGTCGTCATACCACAGCAGCTGGGAGACCCGAGACTAATAAAGCATACGAAAAGTAGCAGGGGGGTTCGCTTGGAGCGGTGGACGGGAATCAAGGAAGGCTAGGGCTGTTAAGCTAAGCTAAGCTCCTCACGTCCTGACGATACTACGTCCGGTACGAGGAAAGAGAGTGGAGGGGGAATGGGGGGGGGCAGCGGGTAGAAGAGAAGAATGTCACGGAATCAGGCGAAGAACCTATGCAGGTAACCATCAATAAAAAAATAGAAATATAGATTCAGATTGTGGCTTGGCCTTTTTGGCTATGGCTATGGCCTCCCCCGTCCCAAGGTGTCTTAGGTCCTTGGGATGTCTCGAATGTCTTGAGATTCTGCGTGAACCTATGTCGCTTACTCAACTCAGCAGATCGCTGCAGGCTGAGCGTGACGGATGCCCTCGTGAGACAGCAAGGCCATGCTAGTATGCCATGCTAGTATGTGAGACAAGCAAACGGCCATACGCTGTTGGGCAGCCAAATGAGCAGGCTGCGCATCCAGGCCAGTAGCGTATGCAATATCGGCCATGCGATAGACCGGGGCATAACCACGCGCCACCTTTGCTCACGATACCTCCTTCGTTAACTCATGTTGCGCTGCGCTGCGCTGCGTCAGAAATGCCGAATACTCTCCTCACCAATTTTACATGGTATGCCAGTATTTCTTTTTCTTTCGGCGTCGAAAGAAATCGAATACATCATACATAACATCGGGTTGCATCTTCTATATGCCAAGTCGCAGGTGAGTGGTTGGAGAGGTTGGTAGATGGGCATTCGGATAGGTGCAGAGAAGCCTGAAGGAACCTGAAGTAGGAAGAAAAATGGTGGGGTCGAAACCAGTGGGGAGGACGCTGACGCAATGATGCAGTGGTTGCAGTTGCAGCAGTAATGTTTTCCCTGTCTTTTGCCTATCTAGCCGCTCCTGCTTTTTTCGTAAGGCCTCCGTAGATGTCCACGCTCGGACCATAACGTGATATGCCCTATTTATGTAACTTCGTACCGACTTCGTTGCATGTACATCACATATGTACATATTTTACCTAATAATATGTACCTAGATACATGTACTGATTACACTAATGCGCTTAGATAATGTCGACCATATAATTCGTTAAGAAGGCGGCGGAAATCACAGGATTCTAATTCGACAATTCCAAGAACACAAGATGCGCCTTGTTCAAACACCTGCAAGGGATTTCTAGACTATGGCACTATTGGGTATTTGTTGCTGTCTCCATAGAACCAGGAACTTCCTTATGACAGTCAGTTATACATAACGATCTAGCTATTGGGCATCAAACAACCTAAGATGGCGTGTCGCTCTCGAGAACCCTGCGTCAGGATACCCCTGGCATCGACGAACTCATCTCGGTTCCAGATCTCATAGGACACAGGGAGCCTTCCAGGAGGTTCGCCATAATTTTTGGAAGATCTCGTGACCAATTGAACTTCTGAATTGGTTTGCCTAAGCTGATCCGCAGATCAAAGTTACCGGGCCGTGCCGGATACCGTTGAGTTTCTTGAGTCAGGACTATCTAATCTACTCGAAGGTTTTCCATTAGTTAATATGATAGTTCATTCTAGTGAGGCTTTAATTTGTCGACAATTCTTACGACTAGCTATCCTATCTTAGCTTTTATCACTTTGACGGATATGAGGTAGCTAGGAAAATACACTAGAGTGTTATAGCCCGTGACTCACGAACTCCTAGTTGATCTAGACCCTTTAGCGGCCTCGAAAACACATAAACAAGACTTCTCCATGAACAACCCGCTCTTTTATACAAAATAGAATATTACGACTTAACATTCTTTAATTATATACATTACAATAGCGTATATATACAGAATAGACGCAAGCAAGTCCTCTTTATCGTACTGCTTGCTTGCTTACCTAATGCTTAGACATATCCGCCTAGCGCCAAAAGTCCGCTTTTAAGTGTCGACATATAACCCCCGGAATAACCAAAGTGTAAAATATCTCCTTCCTTTTTCTCGAAATGCCCCATTTTCTATATGAGTACGTATGTATCTAGCTCATTACTCGATTACTTTAGATCACGGCACTTCTTTGTAGTGCCCTTCACCCATTAACTCGACGGGTTTCGTATCCCCCGGCATCTCCTGTGGATGTTGTTGGTAGTAATGTTGTTGCTGTTGCTGTTGCTGGTAGTGTGCTCCATTATCCCCGGTCGGCGGAGTATACATCCATCCTCCATCTTGCGTGAACCCCGCCTGTTGCGGAATAGCATAACCCATCTGCTGTGGATAAGCAACCCCTTGTTGTGGCTGCTGCTGCTGCTGCTGTCCATATCCAGGTTGAAGCGGCTGAGCCTGTGGGTATCCTGCATAAGTCTGTAGTGCACCGTACACGTACCCGTCGGCACCAACCACCGTTTGAGCCCCAGCCTGCGTTCCATCAGGACCGTATGCTGGTCCTGGTCCCGCATATCCATTTTCCGGCTTATATTGATCTCTTCTCACCGCCGCCATCGCTGCCGCAGCTGCCTCGTCGATTCTCCGCTGTCGCCGGCGTAATAGCCATAATACAAATGGCGTGCCTGCAATCGCGATAATGCCTAGTGTTACGCCAACGCTGATCCCTGCTTTTGCACCGTCACTTAAACCTTTATTATCTTCATCTGATGGCGACGTAGTTGTCGCCGCTGGTGCCTGCGCTGTAGTAGTCTGGCTTGTGTTGGTGCTAGGTAGTATGGTGGCTGGCTGCCACTTCCCGTAGTCGCCGTTGACCTCGACCATATGGCCGCCGCTCATGTAGTACAAGCGCGTGGTGCGGCTCCCGGTGTCGCTTGCGATGCCGATCGGGGCACCGGCCGCATCGGCTACGGGCCAAGATTTATCCTCGTCATCTGGGCGCGGGGCTATGCTCCATGTGCTGTTACTATCACTGTTGCTGATTTGGTACAGTTTCTTGTCAGTGCCGACGTAGAAAACGCTACGCGTATTCTTGTTATTGATGGTTACGGCGAGCGCAGATGCGTTACCATCCCAAGCTGGGAGGCTAAAGTTCGGGCTATTGGAGCCGAGCTTGAGGTCGGACGCTTTTGTTGCGTTGGTTGAGTGGTTCCCCGTCTGTGTTAATGACTGTGGGAAGGTTGCTGAAAATTCATGATTAGCGCTACGGTTAAATAAATCTTGAGGACAGCCTCACATATATGCCACATGTCACCATTATCAAATTGTGACACTCCCATATTCTCGCCATCTCTAGGCCTCACGACTGAGATATTGCCGTTAGAGGAGAAGGTAGACCCAATAGCCTGGGAAGAGGCTGCGTCATGGGAGATTACACCATAATAAGACCATGTCGTGCTGGGTGTGTATCCGATTGCGTGAAGAGTCCCTTCGAGGTCATTGTAATATACTCGGTATCCTTCCGTTGATCCAAGCAGCACAGCTGATAATCCCGAGTCTGGCGCTACCTTAGGAGCTCCTCCGGAGACAACGTACTCGCCCGCATTTTCCCAATGTCCCGTATTCCAATCGCATTCCAGGAGCGCATTGACAATATCATCGTTATTATCCATGTAGAAAATTGATGCCTGTTAGCTGGCGTCAGCAAAACTCTCACTTTTATCTGACCGGCTCCACTTCGCCCATTTCGCAATAGTGAGAATATCTCAGCTTTTTACTTACCCGAGCAGTTTCGCCATCCATCCACCCGGTTGCGGACAGGCCTGTTTTGTTTTTCGGCTGGTGTTCTTTGAAGGGAGCTATGAGCGTCTTGTCGTCTGGAAATATTGGTGTGTAGTTGCCGTTGCAGAGACTATATCGTATGCCGCCAGTATCATCGTCCTGCATAATAAAGCTGGGAGCCCTTGTATTCCACCACGCTGCAATGGAGCCACATGACACTTGTCCTGCAAGCAGCCATATCGATAGGCAAAGGAAGGATGTGAATTTCGTAGCCATTATCGTAAGGGAGCGCGAAGGCTCGTCGGGGTCCGCTTAGATTATGATTTGTTGAGAGAAAGCTAGCATGTGATAATAATAGCCATTGTCGTGCCAATACCCAAGTACAGACGATAGAAGGAGGACAAAATCTAAATAAACATAAACAACGTAAAATAATAGAAAGAGCTAAAGAGAGGAAAATATAAAAATGAGATTCGAGAAACGAGAGAATTATGAGAAATAGGACTGATGAGATCTAACCTAGGTATTAAGTCGTATCTGGTAAGCCACTAACCTAAGTGTGTAGATGATAGATATATGTGCAGGGGTAAAATATACCCCAATGGATCGATTAGGGTGAAGCCTGGAGCAAGTAATCCTGATCTACCAACGCTTTCATTCATGTGCATGCAGGGCCCGTAAGAATCAAGACTTCTACTCCTTCAGACCTAAGGTCTAGAGAGGACGTTGCAGCGGAAAGGATTCAGGGCTAGTACTACATAGCATGCCAGGTACTTTTCGATCGACAACTAGCAATACTAGCCTAGACCGGCTTGATGAATCGGGTAGGTGAGATAATACGTAGTTACATCGTACGTCTAGAACATTAGGTAGCTTGCCCTCTTCTAAGAACTAGTTGTAAGCTTTAGTACCTAGTAACTTAGAAGGGCAGATATGTTTTGATTGAATATAACTACATGTTTAACATCAGGTAGTTAGGTTGTTGATGCAACGATATATTAGCTAATTATATAACGCTTTCAATCTCTCGGCGGCTACAAGACGCCTCGAACCACGGGTACATAGTAACAGCGAAGTTTACCGCAGGTAGTATTTTATAGAAATTAGCGTGTGGCACAGCCTGTGGCCAATTGAGTACCTGTTTATAATAAAAGGACTGAAGCTGTACAAGCTGTTAGAGCTATATTAAACTAGCAGGTAGTAAATTATTAAGAACTTGTATGTTGGAAGTGGTTGGAGGCTAGAGTAGCAAGTTTAGAGTCGCATCGTTATGCTTTCGACGAGTCTTCGTTCGTAGATCTGACGTCGTAGGTAGTATTTTCGGATTGAGACGACGACTTGGTAGCAGTGGCCCGTGGGGGGCCTTCATCCGATTGCAACTTGAGCATGTGAAATTCGGAGTCTAGTAATCGAATACAAAAGTTCAATTACCATACTCATTCTCATACATTCGCAACGCATAGTTAGAATATAAATATATATATCCTTACTTTCATCATTACGAAATGTTAATTTCTTTTCTTACCAAGCTCATGGGACATAAGTCCTGTTGGTTCTGGAAAAGGTAAGTACAAGATACAGTGAGTTTCCAGGAATAGCAGCTGCTGGCGTTTGAAAATCGAGAAAAGGCACGTGCCCTCGGCCGGGCATCCCGAGACACGCTGGGTGCTGGGGGCGTAATCACTGCATATTGTGGCGAAACCAACTTTCATTCCGTACCTATCATCTTTTGTCTCTTGTTTCTTATGATTTTGGTCTATCTTAATTTTCTATCTTGGCCCTTTGACGTGTTGGTTAAAATGCAGTTAGCTTTTTCGACTCGCGACTTCTCGTTATTTCTTGGATAACGGTTCTCTAGTTTTGGCCTTTTTTTCTTTTTTTTCTTTTTTTTCTTTTTCGGTCATTCGGATCTAACTATAATTTGCTAAGGACCGAGGTTCGACCAATCTTAGAAATGAGAAGCTAACTAATAAAAGACAGCTTCGCCAAGGATCAGGAGTACTTTAGCACAACAGCGCCGGCGCCTACCCACTCCCTACCGTCAAGGTAAGCTCCAGCGTGGCTGATATCCCTGCATGCCTTTCCGTTTCATTCGGGACCATATTCATGATTCAGTCCCAAAGTCCCGGATTAATAAGCCCAGTTACTTCAACCCAACGGCTTCGCTTACTAGGATTTCAGGCGAAGTTTGAGTCTCTGTTGAAACAGCCACGCACGATTCTCCCATTTATCCAATCGGATAGACCCTCTACCCTAGATTATACCCAACCCGACACATGGCACATGCTATATAACTACTTGACGGGCCGCTGCTTTCTTGACCAAGTCACATACGGCCCCGAGAGGCCGAAGTTACATAGGCACTCTATCCCCTTCCATCTAATCTTCATACGATTCACGTGGCAAGGGTTCATCGCCAATGTTATTCTGCTAGCATACAAGGCTATGCTAGATTCATAACCAATCAGCAAGAACCCCTTTGAAGCTCTGTGCAGATGCTAACACTGTCATACACCAACTAAACCTCTCGTCATATCTGGCCTGCATGCACCGGCCCCGTAAAACACTCTTCAAATCTACACCTTTACAAGTATCCCGTATCTTTCCTGCATTGTTGGGACTTTTGGTAAACACTTAACGCACACAGAAGAGGACATAAGATGAATAAGAATAACAATGGGACCTCGAGCTAATGAGGGGTAAAGAATCTTTTAGGATAGTAGGGCATTGCGAAGGTAAGAGTGGGTGTGTACATGAGGGATATATGAATGACTACCTAAGGTTAGGAGTTTTGCCTAAAATATTGTAGGCGAATTATCCGTTGAAACACTTGAGACAAAGAACCAGTTGCATACCAATAGTCTAGTATTGGTTATAGTATTGCGTTCAACTTCTCTACGAATAGCTCACCCCTATTTATTCTCACCGCTATGCAGCAAGCCTTCATATTATCTATCATATGCGTGGTCTATTAATAAGGTCCTTATGTAGAACCATATGAGATCCTACAAGATTCTCACAAAAATGAGTTCATCTACAATATCATGAGATTTCGTCTAAAGACAATGATAATGACGTTGTTTTGATAAGCAGATGTCCTAAATAAAGACTGATTGTGGTGAAATGGGGACGTCAACTTCATGACACGCCCCAACGATATTTCAAGAAACCGTAAAAGTAAATCATAATCATACTCGCATGACCGTGCCAATCTATCTACCTAGGTATTGTCCCAATGTTGTAACTCCCAACCCAGCCGGCCGCCCCTGTTCTCTAGTCTCCAATCCATTTTACTATTTAATAAGTCCGCGCTTCGCGTCTTTGGCTATCAGTCCGACTAAGCTCTTCTCTGGCAATGGGTATGGCGGACGCCCACCGAGGATGTCGACGACTTCCTTGTTGTCTAACCAGTGGGCTGCCGTCGGACGTCGGTTCTTCCAGTCCGTCTCATTCTCTTCTACCTGCTCCATGGGCGAGAAGGTCACGTCTGCGCCTTTGATACCAATGACGGTTGCACTTAGAGGATCCTGAATTATCTTTTCCGGGTTCTTCTGCGGCTTGGGGCCGTACTTCTCAAGGTGCTGTATGCACTTGATAGCTAGTCTAACGGCACGGCATCTGTCCATGGCTGAGGGGACACCACCCTGCTGAACGTGGCCGGGGATGCTATCTCGAGATTCAAACCGGTCATGAGCTTCCTCTCGGATGATATCTGCGATAAGCTTGGCTGAGTAGACTTTGCTTGCCTTCTCGTTGACAAGGATTAGTCGGCCTGCTCGCGATTGGCCTTTATCTCTCGTGAAAACTTCCTTTAGATGTTTGACGTCTGCATTCAGCATGTCTAAACTGATTCCCTCTTCTGGGACGTAGACGGCACTCGCACCAACGCCCAATCCTCCCAGAATTGCTACGTATCCACACCGACCACCTTGCGTTTCAATAACGAACACTCGCCTTCGGGTGGCTGACGCAGACTGTTTAATCTTGTCACAGTAGGCGACGAGTTCGTTTAGACAAGTATCGGAGCCTAGGGAATATTCTGTGCCTGGGACATTGTTCGAGATGGTTGCTGGAAGTAGAGTCATGGGAATGCAGAGCGAAGGATACTTGGCTCTGGCTTTTCGAAGTTGCGAGACGGAATGGAAGGCCTCGAAACCGCCGATTAGGAACAAAGCGTCGAATTCGTACTTCTCGATCAACTTAGCGATTAGCTCCATACCAGACTCTTCTGGGAGCTCCCGGTTCGTTCCAATTTCGGAGCCTCCTTTGCTCGCCCATCCGTCTACTTCGAGCCAATCGAAGTGTCGGACAGCACCTAATGGCGTGTCACCGTGATGCCGGGCAAACCCAGCAAATCCATTGTGAATTGCGATAGGCTCATGCCCGCCTGTAACCCTAAAGTCAGAATTTCTAATTGATATCATAAGGGGAAGAATATGCTATGGTAGGTATTGGAAGGTTCACCCTTCAATGTCGTAAAGGGGGTGGGTATAGATCTAATGGGGTATCTTACGGGATCGGCAATAAGCTACACCTGCACGGATAGCAGCGTTCATACCACCAGCGGGTGCCCCAACGTTGATAAAACCGATTTTCATCCTCTACATAGAAGTTAGCGTCCATCGCTATTAATGCTAGTGGTCCTATGCGCTTACCTTGGAATTCTCCAGGTGTATATCTTGGTCAAGTCCCATAGTGGTAGTCATCATGTAAGACTTGTATTGGTCAGAGAATTCGGTGTCACGGAGCGACATCGCTTTGTCGAAGTCCTGAGCTTCGATGGCCGTCGCTACCTTCTTAGTCTCTTGTACGGCCGCCATCAGAGGTTTCCGAACGATCTTGTTCTCGGTAATAGCGATAACACAAGTCTCGGTCTCCGGTGTAGCCTCAAGTACGGCCTTGACAGCTTCCACTCCTTGTAGCGTGGCGAGCATCCTGTCGTAAGCCACTGCGGTTCCTCCTCTTTGAACGTGGCCGAGAGTTGTGATGCGGGTGTCTAGGGCTAGGCCCGATTTGTCGGCAAGGAGATCTTTCACCATCTCAGGTGTAATCTTCGTGCCATGTCTATCAAGGGCACCTTCTGCGATAATGACAATGGTTTTACGTTTGCCCCAGTCTCGGTGCTTGTGAAGTTAGTACAAGGCCCCTTTTGGATTACACCGTTAAGTCTGGCCACATACCTTCCTGATAACTTGACACATCTCCTCTTTCCAGTTATCCTCTCTAGGTTTCTCTGGGATAAAGATGAAGTCGGCACCGGTTGCTACACCTGCCATCAGAGCTAACCAACCGCAATGTCTTCCCATCACCTCTATTACGAAAGCGCGGGAGTGTGAGGAGGCGGTGGCTTCGATATAATCTACCATTTCGCATATACGGGCTAGAGCGGAATAGGCGCCAATGGTGGCATCGGTTCCGGAAAGGTCGTTATCAATTGAACCTACGAGCCCTACGATGTTAAGGTGTTTGTAGGGTTCGATCTGCTTGGCTTGTAGCTGGCCTGTAGATACGAGTTCTTCAAGTAGAGAAGGCCATTCGGCTCGGAATCTATCAGCACCGGTAAGGGAGCCATCACCGCCGCAGATAATGAGGGCATCAATGCCATTGAGGATTAAGTTCTTGGCGGCGGTCAAACGTCCGGGACGCTCGTAGAAAGCCATACACCTCGCGGTACCGATGAGTGTGCCACCCTCAGAAAGATATCCTCGAACATCGTTCCATTCCATTTTTCTAATGAAATTACCACCTTGAACTAGGCCTTCGTAGCCTTCGTAGACGCAATAGGGGTCGCACTCCATGTGAATAGCCATTCGTACGACGGCTCGGACAACGGCATTCATACCTGGCGAATCACCGCCCGAGGTCATGACGGCGATCTTCTTCTTTGTCGTAGCCATGCTGATAGGTATTCTAGGTATAATATCGTAGAGAGATTTAAGGGGAGGATCGAAATTCGAAGTTTTAAGAATGTATGAATAAAAGGGAAATAAGAGGTCTACTAAACTAAGAGATGGCACATCCAAAGGTTAAAGTAGAGGTTAAGTAGGCGAATAAGAGGAATTAGAACTGCAAGGACCTATAATGCGTTCTTTCACATGCTCTAATTAGCCCATGCAAGCGACGTCGAGTGAAAAAACAAATATCAGGAGATAGTTGTGCTATGTATTAACGTGACGAGGGAAATAAAAAAGTGGCTTACCTTCTCCATGTACTTACCTATTTCACATACATGTATGTCATTCTTTGGGATGGAGTAGAAAAAAACGATAATATATGTAGGTAGTGAACAAAAGAAGCTCTTATCAATTATCGGTGCGGGGGAGCTATGGGAAGAGGACTCCTGGAAGTCGCACTATGCAAGTATCATCCCTCTTACGTAGGTAGCGGAGGTACAAATAAACCCCTCATTACTCCGTGCTCCGTACATCTCTAACGTAATATGTACCTACATACCCTTAATCCTAATTATATTGCAGCTGGATGAGGCTGAGTTATTTTTACCTTCAATGTTGTTGAGTTCTTTTTGTTGTTTCCAAGCACCTAGGTACCTAGTGTACCTAACCTACCTATATTACCTAAAATACTAATAATTTGTATATTGCTATAATATATTTACCATTAAACATGAGACATATTTCTGTTCTCGTAAGATAAAATAGGCACTTAGGCCGGTCTTCTGTTAGCTCTGACCTAAGTAGGAGTCATCGAAACATTTTAGGTACATTACAGTGCGTAGGCGGGAATGATCGAAGAATATGTAAGTCTACGTAACGGAGCTCGCCATGGAACGGTAGTCAAATTAGCGTCCGACCAAGAATCCCCACCTGACGTAGTGTCGAGGTCTTGTTGAGGAATATCCGCGGCATTCTATTCGATTGTTCGAAGAACTCCCTGTCAATACCCAGGCAAGAGATACCTCAATGCATATGCTAGAAATTCCCGCAGTGATAAATGTAGGTAGGTACCTAATATAGGTACGTATGTATGAAAACTGTAGATGATGATGGTTGGTGGTAATTGCTCGCTAAGTCTCTACATATATGGACTGGCGTTCGATAGGTTCGGTTGCGTCTCGAACGGCGCCGTTGTTGTAATAACTTCTCGAGACGATCTTTAGCTTCAGAAGAAACCCACATGGAAATGTAGCTCTAGCGTGAGATAGCATGATAGAATCGGCATGCCGTATATTATCGAATGATTCGGCAAAATACATGTATTTAAAGATGCCATCCCCAACTAGGTTACTTGGTTAGCTGTTGTTGTAGTTACATCGTATATTAAGGGTACACTTGAGTAACCTAGATCATGCGATGAAGCAAGCTGTTGAGATTAAATAGTCGGCAAGTATTTACTCGGGTTGATGGCAGTATCCGAAAATCCACCGGAGAGAGCATATGAAAATTAAAAATTACTATGAAAAGATGAGATGAGCATGAAGGATATCTTGTTTGCTGAAGAGATAGAAGATTTCTACGATAAGTATTATACAGAAATAACATCCTGACGAAGCATGTGCCCTCAATGCAAACATGAATCTTGGGATGATCTACGGATTACTGCAGGGGAGTACGTACATTAGCGGGTGGGGGGGGTCTATTGACATTATGTCAGCAAAGGTGTCAGTATAATTACATAATTACAGGCCTTGATACCATGTTAAAACCGTGTCAACAGGTTAACACAATATTTGCAAGGTTTATTATACCGATTTTATTGTAGGTACTTATAAATCAGTACTAATAAATAATATGTTAAGGTATTTATTATATCCGAGGTATTATTTATTTTACCGTAATTATTAAACTTGTTAATAATATTTAAATAATTATTATATTTATAACAATATTAAAAATTTAATATAATGTTAAAAATTTAATATAATATTAACTTTAAATATATATAAATTAAATAAAAGTTTAAAATATATATATATATTATAATATAATAAATTTTAATCATTTATAATCGTAATAACTTTATAATGTAATGGTAAAACGCGTAATTTATAACATTATAACATTATAATTTATAATTTAACGTATTAATATAATTTTTTTAATTAACTTTTACATATGTTTATGTTTATATTATATATATATAAATATGTTAAAAGTTTTATATTAAATTATAAAACTTTTTATTTTTTTTTTTTTAATATTATATTATTTAATTTAATATTATATTTTAATTTAACATAATTTTATACGTAATATATATCGATTAAATAACCGTAACTACCGTTAATAACGATGTTTAAAAAACCACTTTTTTAAACCTAGTCATTTTTATAATTAAGATATAATTACCCCCGGAGGTGACTATATTATATATACTAGCCAATTACCGTAATAATAGTCATTTAACATGCGTATAGCCAATATTATGTCCACACTTATCTCAGTTTTCAGACCAGAATTCATTGAGGCGGGCTGCGCCCGCTTACGCCACGGAACGCATGGCCCGTGTGTTTGTACCTGTGGGGCACGTGCGTAGATTTCAACGAATTCTGGTCTGAGGCCTGGTTGGGCCCAAGCATTACTTACTTTCCAATTTTGGTGGTAAACAACAAAAAATTCAATTTACAATGACTTAATACACCACAAGAACGTACGAAATAACTTCAACTAAAATGACTCGGGGCTAGTAATATATTTAATCTATTTTTCTAGCTTTTTTGCATGCGCGTACGACGTTGCGTTCTTATATACCAGGCCAAAACGTCAAAAAGCACTTGATTTCCAAGGTCCAAAACACCATAATCAACATCACAATTAACATCACAATCAACATTACAATCAACACCACGTATGTGAGAAAATGCCTTCTATTTTAACTCTAGCCTATTACTAATGCTATCTAAGCCTTCCCGCCTTTTTATACACCTGTACGGCATCGCCTTCTTATATACCAGGCCTCGCAACGCGTGTTGCGACCGGTGTTGCGACCGGTATTGCGGCTAACGCGTTGCGACCGTTGTGGCCACTTTCAACGCCCCGAGAGACTTAACGCGTAGATTTAATCGTATTTAATCGATAGACCTAATAATAAGATTAGTACGATTGTATAATCAATTATTACTTACTGTAAAAGCGCGTTGATATCGTTGTTTTTAATGATCTTATTGATTTGACGATGTTTTTGGAAAACAGGATCGATTTTTAATAGGACCGTGTCCAGAGTGACCTCAGACCAGAGTTTTGATATTTTTTTGGGGGGGTTGTACGGGTTGTGATTGGTTGGGGGGGTGGTGTGGCTGGGGGGGTACAACCCCACGAACCAAAAAAATTCGAAACTCTGGTCTGAGGTCACCTGAGATAAGTCCACACCTCAACACGTTTGCTGATACCATGTCAATAGACCCCCCCCACCCGCTAATGTAGGTAGCTACAATAGTGGGGAAATCTCACTAAGCTCTCCTTGTACTAGCTTTATGCTGACTCATCAAGGCTAAGCTTCCAATCATTGGTTACAATCATGATCTTGGCTGTCCATATGTACCTATGTAGCTAAGCTCCATGTACAAAGTACATACCGTTTCTTTACATCTTCATCTTCAATGTTCATAACCACGATCAAATGCAAGCGCCAACGGTACACATCTAATCTCCTCGAATCCCTCGCCCACATATCCAACATTAGTTTGAACCTATTATATAGCTCGGTGAATAGTTAAAATGGCCTCCAGCTCGCCCTTCTCGTTGCGCCCTTGGCCTATAGGCGACAAGAAACCGAAGAACCTCGGCGAGTTCATCTCACGTATCAATGCCCAAAGCGGTGGCTTCCGCAACGTTACGGAGGCTAAGCTACGCGAGGAGATTACAGCTCAGGAAGATGGTCGCGTTGAAGCCGAGGGGTCTTCAGATGAGGAGGAAGATGAAGATGTTGAGTTGAAAAGTGTCACTGCAGCGCGAGAGGAATTCTTAAAGAACATCGAGTAAGCGCATTCAAGGTGAAAGGGAACCCTAATCAGTGAAAATTTATACTAATGGCAGTTGTTTAGAGTCGCGCACCAATCTGCCATGTTGAGTCTCGACTTCGTATCCCTCCTTCTTACGAAACAAGACCCGAGAGCTTTGAGTACGTTGTCGCCAGAGCTGCGCGAACTGGTCGGCATTGGTACTCTAGGAGCTTCCAAGTTAAACGAATCCAATATCACCGAAGCGCGAAGGCAAGACGATCTCGCCGTCGCAACGGGGTGGAGGCTCATGGGGGTCAATAATATGGTGGACTCGGTTGTAGCAGCTGCGGAGAAACTAGAGAAAGAGATGCAGCTGGAGACCAAGTATTGGGCCGATGTCTTGACTGTTAGCGAGGGCGGCTGGGCTGTTTGTGCCGCACCTCAGGAGCCACATACATTGGGTGTCCGATTTGGTTTCGCTGAATCCGCGCCCGAGTTTAGAAACAGCAGCATCGCCCCCTTCAGACGCAATGATGATGGTACCGTCCGTCTGGGATTGGGTCGCGTTGGTGGTGGTTCTCAAAGAGTCCGTCTCACCCTCAAGAAGAATGGTATAATCGTGGATCAATCACCTTTGCCTGGACGGATATCCGACGACGCGCCTTTACAGGATCGAGTACGTGAAGCCAGAAATACGGCTTTTCACCAGGAGCTTTGGTACGAGATCAATCGGGAAGCTCGAACCTTACTCTCCTCAGATGTTTACTCGGATTCTTCAAGTATCACTTGGAAGCAGGATCCGGAAACAGATCTTATATTTACCCTCGAAGATCTTGGCGAACCGGATAACGCAAATGAAAGGATGACAAACATGCAGTGCTCATGCACGGCATACTACATCTACATACAGTTCCTCTTATTCCAAGGGCATCGGCAGAACTATCACCGGCGCACCACTATGGCGCAACTCCCACCCAATCGCATGCAACCACCCTATGCTATCCTGCGTGCAGTGATCGCAAATACCGAGTACTTCAGAGACTGCAAGGCTATGACAGATTTCTTGGACGATTTGGTATTTACATTAAAGCGGGCCGGTATCTCTACCGCTGCCTGCAAGTCGGCCACCCAACCGCTCGCCCCTATAGTCCTCCAAGGCAACCTAACCCGTCGCAACGCTAAGACTGAGCTTAACTTTATTAACTATCTCGCCGGCCGTCTCGAGTCTGCTTTTGAGCTGGCCATTACACCGGAAGTCAGAATATTTGGGCGGGCCCGTATTATGGTCGTCCCTTACATCCAGATGCACTTCAATATCTCCCTAATGCCGTTTTCTCCCCATATTGGCACCACTGAGAGTAATAAGGACGCCACATCTACGAATCAGGGAGCAAAAAATATACTGGAAAATCTGTACCCACCCGCCGATCTTAACCGCGAAGCGTATCCGAACGCAAAGGACGCCATCTATTATATTCAGCAAGCTACCATACGCGCCCTGACACATATCCTTGCAGTAACTGCGGAACAGAAGCTGGGAAGGGATGATATATATTGGACCGAGACAGTGCATGGTCCCGGCGTAGTTGACCGAGATGCTAGCGAGGCAAGGGTTAATATCGAGGATAGCGATGGACGTCTTATCCTGAGCCTCGACGGGCAATGGAAGGAAGGCAATCGAACGGCTAGGCGCGTGTGGACATGGAGGGCAGACCGCGGCGATGAGAGAGGAGACAGCATTACCGATGCCGTGGTCCGAGTTATGCAGAGTTATTCGCAACAACAGGGCGACGAAGCGGCTGAATAGACACCAGACGACATCCCTGCTAGCGAGTATTCTTCCCTAGTCGGCTCTCCTATGGCAATCGACTACCCCAACGCGGAATAGTGTCATACAGTGGACTAAACTTGGCTCTGCTATCAAAAAGAATTTCCTTTTTGAAGAGGCCTCTACTACCGAAGAGGGCTCTCCGAAAACTGAGTGAGGCAGCAGGTTTTGCATCTGGCATCTGGTATATATATATATATATAAATCCGAAGTACGGAATTAGCTACAAGCCGTAGTAGTTACAAGGCTCGATAATGCAAAGTTAATGACTGCAAATAACTTCCAATATAAGGGACCAGGAGCTTCAATCGTTGAATGTCCCGTATAATTGCTCTAATTAGGTAACGCTCAACCTAGTATGAGAGCCGCTTCTATCTAATTTTGACTGTTAAATACCTACCTACCTACCTCTAAGGCAGGTGTTCAGCTTGTCCACTACCCCTAAAAGTTTTGGACCCACCAACCCCTATTAAAGGCCTACCCCTGAACTACACTGAGACACCTGCGAACAAAGGAGTTACGTGTATTAAGTTCTCAACGTCACAACTTAATCGATTTCTATATATCAGTAGCACACGTACTTAAGACAAGTACCCTTCGCCTTTACGTGCGTTATTGGTAGACTTAGGTAGGTACCTAATGTTTGAATATAGTAGACAAGGGGGATTTATTCTGACGTAGCGGAGAAAGAGCCTTATTGATATGTACCTAATATTTGTGATATCTGATAATACCTTAGGTGCCTAACCTACCTTACCTAGACGGATTTCGTATCTTATCTAATATTTCACCTCTTCATAACGAAATACGTGCCGCGGCCTCGCGAATTATTACTAGTTGACTTTGAGCAAGACCCGTACTGCAGGCTATGGATGAAAGCAGTATGCTAGCTAGCACTTAGTCACGAAAAGGGGTTGGAGTAAGGGGAATTGCTGAATGCCTAATGGGAAAAGAAATATACTCATTCTTATTAAGTATGTGAGTATAACTATGGAGAGTACAATCATATCAATCAAAAGAACCACCTATAGCAAGTTCGTTACTGCAAAAGCCATCCATACACACCGCACTCCCTTAGTACAAACAAATCGTCCGTCTCCTGTGGTTCGCCATAAGGCAAGATCGTGTAGGTACGAAATAACATCCTTCGTCCTTCCTTTTAGGTAACCGACTAAACTGTAAGCCTAGGTAGGCAGACAGTACACCTCTTGTCAAAACGCCATTATAATTGCTCATCTGCTCAAGGATCCATGGCCTGCGAATCGGGCACATGGTAAATTTTGCCACAGGTATGCGTTGTAAAACAACAAAATGGACCTCTCTCTGTCCAAATATCATCAGAAGTCATTTGCATCTAACTGATAGGAAGAAAAGAGGAGAGAAGGAAAAAAGGCACAAAGTACTGAATGGTTATACAAATAGAAACCAGTAGTTGATATAATGAGGTATTGTATGGATTAGAGCCTTTGAGGTCCCGGATTTCGTGGCTAGGAATCCATGCCGAAGAGGAATGCGAGATCTTCAGTGCCGAGTTTGCTCATGTCTTTGGTCGCATTTTCGCCCTGTAGAGCAAATTCGACGACTCGACGCTTCTTCTCTTGCGTGGCCATAATTCGATCTTCCACGGTTTTCTCGACGAGGATTCGGTGGACTGTAACATTTCGCTGCTGACCAATCCGGTATGTACGGTCGATGGCCTGGTTCTCAACGTAAGGATTCCAGAACGGATCCATGATAATAACCTGTGAGGCTACTGTCAGGTTGAGGCCAGCATTTCCGGCTTTAAGTGATACTAGAATAACCTTCATCTCGGGATCCTCGGTGAATTCACCAATTGCCTTATCACGTTTGGTTGCTGTCATACTACCATCGTAGCGACCAACCCGAAGCCCAAGTTCATCTTCAATTGAGATTTGAATCAGGTCAAGAAAAATGGTCCATTGGGAGAAAACGATGATCTTCTCTCCCGTAGTATTCTGGATAGTCGAAATGAGCTCACAGCACTTGGCTACCTTAGCCGACGGCTGCCAGATTGCACGTAGGTTTCGCATGTACCTTTTGTGGGCCTGCTGATTGTGTTTTGCCCGCTGGCACAGCTTCGCAAGCTCGTCTGGTTTAAGATCAACTTCGTAATCATCATCGGAATCATCAGCGTCGTCATCTATGTCACCCGCTCCTAACTCCTTTTCATCTTGAAGCCGCTCAGGCTGGTACGTCTTCAAGAACGAATCGAATTTGATTATCGTGAATTTGCCTTGCTTGTGACAGGCCATACATTCTACGCTTTGCTCAACCCCTGCCGCGCGCATCATCTTCTCCCCAAGTATGTTCATAAATGCCTCAGCACAGTGCGAGCATAACAGATCTCCGCAAGGGCACATGATAGAAGGATGTGATACGACATCAGAACATACGGAACATTGGAAGAGCTCGGTTCCCTTGATATGCTCGACTACCTCTGGGGGTAGGGTCTTTGCAGACTCCTCTGCCTGCTCCTCTGGGATGTCGGGTATGATCAGTTCTAGATCAGTGAGATGCAGATACGGATGACAACAGGCTTGGCGCAACCGAAGAAGGAGTATCAAGACTTTGGTATAATGCTTCCCAATCGTGCCAGCCCTGAGATACTTGCTAAACTGGACACGAGCATCCTTCTCAAGAGTAGCATAATATTCTTGTTGATCAGGATCAAAAACAACATGATCAATGACCTCTGTTTTCTCTTTCAACTGGATGATAGGCTTTCCGTCAATCTTGGACTTCTTGGTTCGTCGAAGTAGAATATCTTTAAGGAGACTCTGCAACGTTTTCATTGCTCTCTTCTTCTCATCTGGGCCGCCTTTAGATCCTGGCTGCAGGGATTTGAATTCCTGCGCAATACTGTTAGCTAGACACTTCGATTCTCATTAATAGTAAACTTACCGCCTGGAATCTTTCAACCACGCAGTATGGTTTGATTCCAAGGAATCGGACAAGGGAAGCGAGTTCGTTTGGCCCATTCTGCATTGGTGTCCCCGTCAGGCACCAACGGTACTTGGCCTGTAAGTCGCAAACAGCCTTTGAAACTTTGGCTTTATGATTCTTGATGTACTGCGCCTCATCAAGAATCACACGGTAGAAGAGGCTTTTTTGACTCAGAAAAGGGCAGATCTCAGACAAGTAATTCTCATCGACCTCCAGCCCATCTTTTTTCGTTTGCCTGATGTATTGATCCCTCTTCTTGACTTCGGACACGATCAATCCGTAGCTAGTCAGTACAACATCATAATCGCGGAGCTGATTGTAATCCTTCTTTCTCGAATGCTGTATGAATACTTTGAGCTGGTAGTCTGGTAGGACTTTTTGCTTAATCTCCCGCTCCCATTGCTTGAGCAGGCATACTGGAGCAATGATGAGGTTTGTCTACAATGGTTAGCATAGACTATATGAAAATTTAGGAGATACTTACTTTCACATTGGACCATGGATATGGTTCAGTGTCGCGACTGATCATCAGAGCAATGGTCGAAAGTGTCTTTCCAAGACCCATGTCATCAGCAAGTATGCCACCCCTCTTCTCCTCATCTAGCTCCATTTTCTTCATCCATTCCAGCGCTATTAACTGATGCTTGTAAAGGGGATATCGCAAAGCATCTAGAGGACCTGCTGGGTTCTGATGAGCGTCATATGGTTGGATGTTTGAAAATAGCCCTTCAAAGTTATATTCGTTCTTGGAGAGGGAAGCTTCATTGAGAAAGGATTTATCCTTAAGATTACTACCAGGTGCTGTTGCTTCTGTAAAAGAGCAGTACCAATTGTTTAACATCCTAAGATTGGCATTTTTGATCTCTTGTTGATCGAGTGATTCTGCTGTGATTAATGAAGCTGTCTGCTCGGATATGGGTGGGCTTAGAGTGACGCGACGAAGTTTGTTAATCGGAGCTTCGAGGTCCTCGGATGATTCGAGATAATCGCTGAATGAGCGCTTCCTAGCAGCGGAATAGCCGATGTCTTGAGACCACTCAGGGAATTCACCAGCTTGGTTTGTATAGGTAATGGGCATAGGATCACCAGTGTCCTGATAGAAAGCTAAGCGACGCAGAAAATTAGCAATGTAATTTTAAACAAGGAGTATATGAATAAAGTTGATATTGAGATATAACAACTAGCAAACAGAGAGAGTATATAAGAGGACAACTGGTCAAATCATCCGATATCTTTACACAGACTGAACAAGTTGTTGCCTGAAATGTGTGTGCAAGGTGAAGATAAAAGAAAATGATGAAGACTAAGGAATTAAGACATGTCTTACCTTTCTGAGGCTCAGTGTACTCTGATGCCATCTTGGAGTAGGGCTATGGATTCGTGCTAAGATGTAGAAGAAAGTTTATCCACAAAGAACAGGGCTATTGGTGATGTGAATTTGTGTGGAAAAGATGTGGTTGTTGGCGGTAACGCAGCTGCCAGAATAAAGTAACTGTAACTAGGGCATTCGGCTAAGATGTCACAATAATACGGCCGACCTTGCCTTGATCAAAATGTGAGTAAGGATCAGGGCAAGATGACTGCATCATAATAGTCGAAGATGTTTTATGCCTAGTGTGTGCAGGCAGGCTGTCTAATGCTATGCAGCACGATAACCAGACAGGCCGAGTAACTTATTGCTTGACTGCTGGAAGGCCCGATGATGGTCGCGTTACTAGGAAGGAACTGTGAGGGATAATGGGAGAATCAAATAGAAAAAAACAAACAATGTCTTAAGGAGTGATACGCGCTTGAATTCAAAGACGCGTTGCCGGTTGACAGTTGACAGTGTTGTTTCCATGAGATGTGAAGTCAGGATATTTGAATTATAAAAGGAAGGCTGTACGAAATATATAGAAAAATGATAGAATGCAACAATGCACCTTCCAAAGGATGCTTGTGAGCATGCAGGCTCGTTGAAGTGAATCATGATTGGATGCCTAAGGTAAAATTTCTCCTAGAGCCTTGCACCAAGGAAGAAGTCGCGGTTGTCATGATGATATTCTGTACTGGGGCAACAGCAACTCCTGGGAAAGAGCATCCTGGTTTCCATTGCGGATTGTTGCCTATTTACTTAAGGTACATATACGTACCTTACTTAGGCATTTATGTACCTACATATACATATAATGTAGGATAAAAGAACATTAAAGGTACCTCATATACAAAGGCTGAATCTCCCCATGTATTTCTAGGGGAACGTGCTTCCACCAGATAGAGATTGAGGTTTACATGATTGGCTGCATGCACTTAAACCAAACATATAGCTGCATGTACCCTACGTAATAGGTAGACCTATCATAAAATCCATACATCTGTCAAGAGCTTTGTGGACTTCAGGCAGACATGTGTAACGTAGATGACAGCTAGCATGTTAATAAAGGGACTACATGTAATTAATAGATTAGGCAATTAGGTACTGGAACATGACATCTTTAGATACTGTGAATTCTCTATTGAACTGGATTGGCTAAAGCTGCTTTGAGGGGTGTGTATTGGACCAAGAAATCTCCTATAAGACATATATAATACTAGACAAGGCTTACTTGAATATACAAGGCAAGTTGATAAAGATGCTAAAACTTTGATATTGTGGCGAGTAATACCCGTTTATCTACCAAATCTGTGGATTTAATACAGGGAGCACTAATGTCACGCGACCCTGACGCAGAAATAGGCATGGATAGATCTATAACTTTGGGGAGGATAAGAATTGAGATGGAGATAACTACTGGAATATGTACAGTAGATTGTAGCCGAGACTACAACGATTAATCAAAAAGAAATTCTTCATAAATGCCACCTAATAAATTGTGTTCTCTTCCAAGTTATGTGACATAAACAAGTGACTATAAAAACGAACGGTCTGTTGCCCACATAATTATCTCTTGATAGTCTAGACTCTTAGGTAAATATCTCCCCCTTTATCTTCCGTAACTATATCTAGCTCACTTAAACATGGGCATAGCCGAATGAAAAATTAACCTTAACGTAGGTAATCTTTACTGTTCAGCTGTGGAGACTATTGAAATCCCTTTAAACAGAAAAAGGTTGCTTTGCTACTTCTAGGAATCGAGATGGAACCAAAAGACGTAACGACTATAAAAGGCCTATATACACCCAGCATTCCTCCATATCTGATCAATACGGTAGAAGGTAGGTATTGGATTGAACTTATAGTGTTACTCCGAAACCATTGGTATTCTAATTCTGACACCAGCTACCCTTGTGCCGGCCATTTTGAATGGGATGGTGGAGAACTGAGGGAATAAAAGAGGATTGATTGGAAGAGATTGCGAAGAAGCCCGAAGCAAGGGCTGAAGCGCGTAATCCTAACATAGATCTCCAAAAGGAAAAATATATTTTGGGCGCTCTGTGTAACTCTTACAACTTTGATAATTTTCAATCAAGAGATACCTAGTAGAAATTTATTCGTTGGCCAAGAACATGGAATATGGTCATAATAACCGCACTTGCCAATGGCTGGATGTGAATTGTGGCATCTGGAATGTATAGGGCTTGTCGAAAAACGAAGTGTGCCGACACACATGAATAGGGGATATCAAAATGAATACATAGCTCCTAACCTGGTAGGAATATAGAATGGTAAGGAGGTGCCGAGCCTAGTGAGCACATCTGACGAGACTTGCCATAGCGCATTGCGTCGATCGGTAGCCAATGCCTTCACGCCCACTGCCGTGCTGGACTATGAGAGGTGGATTGATGCTACGATCGAAGAATTAATAGATGTCATGAGTAAGAAGGAAACTTTTGATCTCTCATCGATGATCCTTTGGTACACTATGGACGCGGCCGGGCGATTTTCTTTTGGTGAGACGCTCGGATGTCTTCGGGCCGAGGGTGATGTGGATGGTTCAATACAGCTCGTCCGTGATCGCTTCAACCATTGGGGGTGGTGGTCTTCGATCTCGAAGCTTGAGAGATTGATATATCGTAACCCCCTCGCCATGCGCCAGAAACGAGCACCGTCTCGTATGGCAGGGGTAGCTTTATCCAAGATCAAGGCAAGGAGCGGTCAATTGAAAGACGAGGCTGGTGATACGGATCTTCTCCAAAGATTTCTCGAGGCTAGCAAAGTTCACTCGCAGCTAGACGCCGCAGGAGTGGTAGGTATGCTGATATCTACGATATCCGGAGCAGGCGATACGACAGCGACCACCGTGACGGCAATACTCTAATTACAACGTAATCAAGAACCCGGAATCGCTCGAGAAGCTCGAGGACGAATTGGTACGCTCAGATCTTCCGCAAATACCTGGGGCCTCACAGATCAATAAGCTGCCGTACCTAGATGCTGTCATCAAAGAGGATATGCGGCTGTTTACCGTCATTACGTGGCCGATGGAGCGCTATATGTCAAATCACATTATAAGGAATGATTGAATAACGGGGTTATTATAAAATATCCCTTGACCTTGAAGTCTTTATTGATGACCGATTAAAGTTCATTTTTTTTTTCCTTTTCGAAAATGACTCGCTGTGCGTACCAATCGTATACCTAGGTCGCTAGCCGGTCCTCGATACAAGTCCCTATACTATAATCCAACCCACCAATACCCTGAGAACCTAAAGTAGAGTCTTCCGGAACAGACTCATAAACTCACAGCAACCAAAATGATGTACCTTAGTACACTATTATGTCTAATGGGTGATCTTCGATTGACGGTATTGGAAGAGCCGTATCTAGGGGAACTACCGTGGCTAGAAGCGCTAACATTTTGTCAAAGTCAGTTCCAAAATTTTAGAGAGGGATCCTATCTGGAAAGGTGGTCGAACCTTTGCTTTTTCGAACGATTTTGACGCAACGTGGCGTCTAATTTAATAGCCGTTTTCTTTGGTCGAAGTGGGCCAACTGGCTTCCGAGTTGCCCTGATAGGACTTTCTTTGGTTAAGGGCAGTGAACCGTGCCGAGGAAGCGTCATTTGTCTCGGAAGTAGTATCATACTGGATAGAATTATTTTGGAAAGCTGTGTCAATTGAGCGTCCAGGTTCGCTGGTCGTAGAAGCTCCACTGGGTGTGGTGAATTCGCTGACGATTGCATATTGGTCAAAACGCCTATCCTTTATAGTGGGGGCATTGTATCCGGAAGTGGTATCTTCTTCATTTAGAAGTGATGATATTCGCAAGGGATTTGGTGGAGTGACAATGACAGCACTTCGTTGAGGGAAGTCTTTCGAAGTGAGACTATCTCGTCCAGGGGGGACATCATATCCACCAAAAATGTTCCGATTCGCTAGAGTGCTCCCTATAGGCCCAGAATCATACCTAGGGAAGCTTTTTGGCATAGGGAATGCATCTCGAAACGTGGGTAGTTGAGGTTGTTTCTGAATCTCCGGGGTTTTATAATTAGGCCGTGGCTTAAAGTGACCGCAGATACAGAAATCCTCATTAATAGCAGCACACCAGCGCCCACATTTTTCGCACTTCCAGGCCCAGTATATTGGTTCATTATTTATCGGGGCATTCATGATGGCGATGGTGTCCTATAGTTTTCGTTGCTTGCATATAATCTTGGGGAGATGATTATCGTATTAATTGATGTAGAGGGATAAAAATACGAGGGTTATAGCCAAAATATATTCCCAATTTTCTGCTATTTGGATGGAAGATGGACTGTGTAATCCGCTTTCATGTTGTAAATCAGTAGAAAATGGGACTCTAATAAGGTTTCCTGGTAGTTATTTGTTGACGGTATGATGTTAATAGTTGTTGTAACTGCTGAAGAAATGTAATTTGATTTAAGGTAGGGAAGGTTTTATCGGATGGACAATTAATAATAGGTACCTGTTGTGGAAATTCGCTTTTCGAACAATATCCAGTCGTAGGTAGGTAGACATACATGTATTTATCTCATTTTCCCAGTATACCTAGGTACCTACCTAGGTAGGTAGGCTTTTAAAGTTGTGACCGTCGTCGCAGATTTAGTTTCTTTAATAATAGCCTTTAATCCTCGACTTGTGAGATGTCATCACATAAAAGAGTACTTAAGAGATAGGTAAATAGATAATTTCTTTTAATGAATATTAGACTCTATCGTATCATTATATTGGCTAAAAATGGATGCGTGGCAAGATTTATGGATTTCACATATGTCTATCAGTTATCTAAGGTATAAAATGCCTTCTATACGATCCGTGGCATATTCATGAAACTGGCCAAACTTTGGACATTTCGAGGCCCTCAGCAAAAACGCCAACCTTGCCGTCAATCGCAAATCCTTGGGCCTCTAACTTCCTACATTCGGCATATAGGCTGTCTAATGGTACCCAAAAAGCCTCGATAAACTCACCATCTTCTAGTTGAGGTCTTGGATTTTGATTCTCTTCCTTTTCCGGGTCAATTTTCAGATGGATGAGAAATGTCTTTGAGCTATATCAAGAGTTAGTCAAATGGCTTGGTATCAACATTAGGAAGTATAAATTCTACCTCGAGGATGCAGGAGCTGAGGGTATGGTTAGTGTAAATTCGTACAAAACGGAAAGGGGTTGATAGAACTCACAGCTGAAAAGGATCGGTCTTGCACCTCCGCGGTCTGGCATTACTTCACCAACGTAACCTGTTTCCTCCTTTAATTCACGTAGCGCCGCTTGCTCTACGGTCTCACCCTCATCCACCAATCCAGCTGGAAACTCAATAACGATTTTACCCGCCGGCGCGCGAAACTGTTTCTCAAGGAGGACCTTAGGACCGTCTTTGTGATGAATGACGGCGATCATTTGCACAGCATCAACGGCACTGGTGCTCGGACGCCCAGGACGCTTCATCGCCTCCCACGTGCGCACTTGACCATTTTCATCCTCGTATGTAATTCTGATTCATGTTATGGTTAGATCGATAAGGGGTTCATAGCAATTTAGAGCGTGGTGTAAGGTGGTAATGCTGTAAGGTATTTATTTATAGCGACTAACTTTACAAGATTGATCCACTTCGCATCTTTGTTTTCCTAAAAAACGCCCTTAGCAAATTTGGTACTATTGGGTTGGCTGGGCACATACGAGTAGTTCGGTTGATATGACTTTGGCAACCTTTTTCGACATTGTGAATCGGTACGAGTTTTAGCTTTAACTCTTAGCTGTTTTTAATATTAAAGGTGGATGGAGATTGCCGCTGTAGCTATGGATCTCTAGGAAGGTTGAGAGTATCGTATAGCCACAACGTGGCTACTGTGTGTTAGATGAGGCTTGATAGGATCCACTTCCACCGGGGGGTGGGGAGGGGGGGTTGTAGGAGATTAAGAAGCGAATATTATAATACTAACTAGACCTTTTATCACCTAAACTAAAAAGACTTTAAAGAGTATGTATTTATACTGGTGGTTGACCTTACCGCCGTACTATATAAATAGAGTTTATGTACCTAATAACTATGTAAAGCTATAGCTTTTGTTCTTGACGCATACTAGAAAGTTTGCTTTCCGATTAGCACTTCCAGGTTGGCAGTGAGTGGTGCTATAGCGCATTTTTCATACGCAATTTACCGCGACCCAAACGCGTACCTACATGACACAGTTTTGTGTTCTTTCTTCTACGCTACGCTCTATGTATACACTGCGGGAAAAAAAACTTAAGTTCAATAAAATTTAACTAAGCAAGAAATAATACTAAACATGCAGCGCAGATGCGCCCGTTGGGTTGTCATAGCGACGCGCGCGTTGATGTATACTGGTCTATAAACTTTATTGAACTTATCGTCGCTCCCCTCTCCTGCTAACTTGCCCTAATGAGATCAGCAGCTTTCTCAGCAACCGCATACACTGAACTTTGAATATTCCCTCTCGGAATTAGTGGAAACACGCTCGCATCGACAATTCTTAAGCCCTCCACCCCGTAGACCCTTAGGCTCGAATCCACCACACCACCCGATTCTCGAGGCATCATGGCTGTCGTTCCGCATACATGGTAATGTGGTGTATATCCGTTCTTAACCGCTTCCTTTGCCTGGTCTAGTGTCTCAACCCTCTGCCCGCCATTATGTAAACGCCGCCCGCCCTCTTTGAATAGCTCTCGTAGCGGCGGAGTGTCACGGATTTTCTCGAGAAGAAGCACGTGCCGCGCGTGTAGCTCTAAGTCTAGCGGGTGAGACATAGCACGCGGATCGACAACGGGTGAGGAGCGTGCATCAGCTGATTGTATATGCACTGATCCGCGACTGAATGGGTGACTCAGAACAGCTACAATGGACACATAGAAGCCTTCGGTACCAAGGCCGAATATCTGGGAAGGATTGTCTCCCGGCAAAGGATTCAGCTGAAACGGTGCGAGAGTGAATTGTGCTGAGCAGTCATCAGGGGTACATATCTGCTCACGGAGAACTCTAGGCTCGGCCTCTGCTTGGCCAAGGTCTGAAAGGAGCTGGCTGACAGATACGGGTGCAAGACTTTCGTCCTGGAGCGGGAAAAAGGCCGATGCGAATGCGTTTATAGACAAGGGACCTGCTATAGCCTCCTGATAAGCCGCCATGGCCGCTTCGACGACTCTTGGGTTTCGCATCTGATCGCCAGACGTTATCGGGTCGGTTACCTCCCAAGAAAACGGTACGAAACCATGATCCTGGAAGTTTTCGCCAACATTAGGATTGTCTAGAAGGCAGTCAATCCCGTACTTTTCAAGTATATCCTTCCTACCAATTCCTGAGAGCTCGAGCAGTTGAGGCGACTTGACTGCGCCAGCCGCCAGAACCACCTCACGCGTGGCAGAAACCTGCCGTCTCCGGCCATCTTTCCCAACGAATGCGACTCCAGTGGCCCGAAGCTTGTCAGGACCAATAGTCCGTTTAACAAAGATAATTTTCTCAACGAGTGATTCTGTGATGACGCGTAGGTTTGGTCGTTGAGCGACTTTGTCTGAAAAGTACGCATTTCCGGCATGGCTCCTCTCTCTAGTTGTTGGATGAAGCGTGGCAGCATTGTTGAAAGCCCCGATAGACATACCAGCGATAGGATCGCCGTCGATAGGCTTGCATAGAGTGGACCATGCCCGGGGCCAAGCTTGGGAAAAGGGGGGGAAACCTTCCTCGTTCCCGTAAGAGATCTGAATGGGCCCATCTGTGCCGTGAACGCCATTCAAGTAATCAAGCATAAACTCCTCTTTGAGCTTCGCTTGAGGCTCGGTGAATGTATGGAACCTGTGGAAGTAACTTTCCATAGTCTTCCATCCCCAGCCTGGATTTCCTAATCTTTCCCACGTATCAAAGCCGGACTTAGACGGATATATAACCATTCCTAGGTTGATACTTTAACTCCAGCTCAGTTAGCTATCATTTCAGAAGTATCGTATTCCTATATTAGGGATCTGGGCACTTACGCTGATGAACCACCCAAAGTTTTACCTAGAGGCTGTGCTAGCCTACGGTTGTTAAGTCCTACTTGAGGTTCTGTAGTGATACACCAATCATAGTCCGGGTCAAAATACGTCGCAGCGGCAAGACTTTGAATCGAGATTTTCGGATCTCTTAGGCGGTTCGCACCAGCTTCAAGAACCAAGACGCGAACATCTTTCTCTTCGGCCAACCTTGACGCAACCACGAGCCCAGATGTTCCTGCTCCAACGATAATGTAGTCATAATCTACACTTATGTTAGCAGTAGAAGCGGTGTCGATGGTAGACATATTATTGGCATTTAGGGGGTGGACACGGAAAATCCGGATAGTAAAGAGATAAAAGGACAAGAGGACGCGAGGGCGTAGAAAAACAAGAAACCAAATATCATTACAATGTATAAGAATAAAAAGTGTACATTGTAAGGAATGTAAGATCTATATCCAATCTCTCGTATGGTAGATACTCAAATAGAACCCCTCATCGGGGGGTAAGTTGTATGTATATTAGTACCATCCAAGCTTACTTCGCGGTGTGGACGCATAACTCCGTACCAGCATGCCTTGGGGACTTTTAACCTATATAATAAAATATATAGCTATTCCGAGTTGAGTATGAGGATATTCCGCTATCTTTAGTCATTCCCAGTGACGGCGCTACGACGATGTGTCCCCTTTACAAGAACTAAGAATATAACTTGGGTTGCCTTCAACACGCACCAAACTGATATTATCTCCAGCTCTGAGTGACTTGTATAGATAGATATGTCTTGTACTAGGTCGCTTTAAACTCCTCCGCTGTCTTAATTGTGCCCTCTAGAGCTTTCTTCTGGATTCGCTCGAGAATCAGAGCCTCGATGCTAAAAATAGTAGCTTGCTTTGACAGAGGATTCTCAAATGGGAAATCTACGTGCATAAACTGGGAAGCAAAGGTGCGGAATTCAGATACCAGCATTTAGTCTAGGCCGAGGCCTACCAGTGGTCGATCGACTCTAATCTAATCTATAATCTAGAGCAATTACCATGGTATTAGCAAGCTTGATTAACAGAGCTTTGCTGACAGCGTCCTTAAGTAGCTAAAGATCCCTTGCGGTAGCTCCGTCTTTGAGAAAAATATAGCGGTATATATAGAGCCCATATCGCGATCCCACGATACTTTAAGCAGTCTTGCTCTCGGATCTTGGAACAAACATAATGTCAGATGCTGCGCTATTCTGATCCATCATGCGCGTCTTGGCCGCTTGCATCTCGAACCCCATTAATAGATGTGCCTGCATAAAAGAGTCCTATTCTAGCGTTACCCCGTCATCAGGGTGTGAAATAGCCAGGTAAACGAGGTGTAGTAGCTCGTCTAGATAGATAGAGTACACCTTTCAACTCGGATATAAATATATATCTCGTTACTTAATTTATTTAATACGTGCTGGCTAAGCGCTTGACAACGATTGACAACTTTCCCCATAGTAAGAATTTCTGAAAGGTACATCCGTACTATAACAACCATGAAAACAAAACATTGGGTTGACGCTACTTTCATCGTCATACGAAAGTAGTGGATACAATGCACATCGAGTCGCCTTACAGAGCGCTTTCTGGCTGCTGTACGTCGAATTCTTCCCCCGAAAGCTCCGACACAGAGTCATAGCCCCCGTCTTCTCCTTCGGCCCCTTCAACGGTACCTTTCAGCCGCATGCGGAGAGGCTTTTGAGGTCTCACGTTAACGGAACCATCCCTATAGATATGGACTCGGTTTGCTCTGCGATTGTACCGAACTGTAATGTGTTCACGCTTATCGTTAATGTTTGTATGCCACCAGACACGGCCTGAACTGCCAGAATTCTCAGGGGGGGGGGCACTACAATCGGGCCCCCCAAAATAAGTTAGTCAATATTCCTTACAGCAACGGCCAAGGAATAGGTAGGTAGGTAGGTAGTTATTGGATTTTAATAAGACGTACGAGTAAACAATGGCCTCGGTTGAGGACTTCAGGGCATCGTGTTTCCAAGCTTCCTTAAGAAGAGGAATGATCGCTGCTTGTTCGGCTGGTCTGAGTGTCGAGGGGTTGAAACTGGTCCTTAAGGTTGACATAGCGACGACGAACCGTTCGAATCACGTATAGTTAAATGTCGCGAGATGCCTATGTACCTAGTAGGTAGATAAGTATATCATTAACTAGATCGGGGATTTTACATAGGAATCAGACTAACGGCGCTTCTATAAGACGGTTCTATGTAGATTGTGTTGGTATGCTCGATGATAATTTCAAGAAAAATACCTAAGTGTACTGGGCGAGTTTATCCGCCTTTAAATAGGAATTATTTCGGGTTGTTAATATTAAAACGCTCTTCCCGAGTCTGTAGAAGGCACCCTAAAGCGGGGTTTCAGTCAGAATCGGCTATGCATATCTTGTATATTGCCCCTTTTCTTCTCCCTGAGGCTGGCTGATACCAAGTCTGATAGCCTCCCGGTATCAACCTTAACCGATCATCGAATTCGAGTCTTCTCGTGATTTATATCATTTCTGGGCCGCCTTCCGATTGGCTCTCGTAAAGCTTCGTTCGTAGTTGCGGTTGCCAATGCAGCTTCGTCGGTGTCGCAATATTGTCTTCAGCCGTAAATATTGACATCACGAGCCTGGTATGCTCCCTCAGGAGTTCCAAGACGGGCTAGTCGTGGTCTCTCCGTGTGAGCTGAGTGAGGGGCAGGCTTATGAGCCCCCGACATGCCTATTGCGAGGTCGGCGTCTGTTGTTTAGTTATAATTATATGTGCCGTGGGTATATCTGCGTGGGTCCGCATCTATGCAACCTGTCTGTTTGATGCAGCAAACCCCAATGGGTTCAAACCCGACCCCCTGGAGCCGTCTATGTGTTCTCGTTTCGCACTGAGTCCTCCAGCTCCAGTTCTTAGCAAGATAAGTCAGTCCTATGCTCAGGCCATTCGCTCTATGTTAAAATGTTAAATACCTACATAGTTAATTACTAAACCAGACCCTACCGTTTTACCCTTGTCAATCTCAGTGCCGAGTCTGACTAATCCTTCCGCAATTCGCGGCGACCTGATCACCAGCTCTCACACTCTAGGACTCAGACACGGCTTCTAAGTGGACAGACGGCGAGCCCGTATATACCATTGAGGAGGATAGTAGAGTGACGGGCGTCAAAAGGTAGCCGTACCGGCCCGGTGCCCCCTAACCCCCCGTGCATATCAACACCGTGGTCGAGTCGGTCGTCAGGGACAACGGTAGCCTTAACGTGCAGCGTTCGGCCGCACTGCAGATATCCCGCTCACGACGGAGCGCGATCCCGAGGCGATGCAGGGTAGTGGCACGCTGAGCGACTACGGCGACTACTTCCTACTATTACAAGTCTGACGCCGGCGATGGAAGGTTCGTCATCGTTGCTGCCAATACGGTCATCGACATTATGGGCAGCGTAAGTACCGCAGCGCTCGAGCCGACAGCGCGTCGGCTGCTGGAGCACGTTATACGGCGCAATATCCATGCGTAGAATGCCACCTCGTATTTTCGGATTTGAAAAGTCGATAACATTCAATCGAAATGTGTTGTAATCAGGGAACTAGAGAAGTACCTAAACATTTAGTGAGGTTGATCTTTTAGGCAATTAACATAGTAAGGCAATCTAGAAAGGAAGAGTGAATATTTAGACTTGTAACTCTGTGACTCTGCAAGCAAAGTGACACTGCGGCATACTTAGGAGCATTGCACAGATCGAAGCTTGCCAACCCATATTAACCAACGGTTGCCTTGATATATCTCCCTCCCTTGTATTTATCTCTCCGTATAAGCTGGTGACAATACTGTGAAACCAGGCGCAATGTGTCTTTTTCTTTGTCCTCGGAAAATATTAGAAAGATATTCTGTCCTTAGTCAAAGTCTCGCTTCAATCCCGTCATCGTGGCCAATCCAACCATAATACTCTTCTATGTCAAGATGGATGTCAATGGTGTAGCCTTAATCGTTGGCGCCGGTATGTAAAAGCTTCTATGAATATCTCCTTACGAAGACAATGGAAATTAAATATGAATGAATAGGTAGCGGCATTGGGCTTGAGACTGCCCTGATGTTCGCAGAAAGGGGTGCGCGAGCTTCGTCATAGGGGAATAGGGGAATAGGGGTAAAGGTGGCTTAGTTGATATTGTGTCGTCTTTATTACGTCATATCATCAAATATGTAGTCAAGCCGTCATTACTTGCTTCACTAACACTCCATTATCAGATCAATTTGATGGCTATTAGCAGGCAGTCTTCAAAATTTCTCATACATCAATTTTTCCATTTACGCTTTACTTCATTTTCATTACTTATCATCAATACCGCATCAGCTCTTTAGGTGACTATTCTAGAGATGTTCTTACAAATCCTTCACCTTGCCCAAGCCGCCTTGGCAATCTACGGCGGCAAGCAATCTTACATCGCCATCACCAATCTTCAAAAATACGAAAATGCAACTAAAAAGCTAGCCAAGGTCTCTACTGAGGCCGAACACCAGCGGCAGAAGACGTACGCCACACAGACCACCGGTGTCGTCACGCTATTATTCTCATTCTTCATGTCGGTACTGCTCGCTCGTCGGGGTTCGATATACGGGGTTTTGCCGCGCTACTTAGCCCCGGTTGCGACGATCGTCGCTGTCTACTTTGCGAGGGAACATATCCGGGGCTTCTGGGCTGGAAAGACCCCTGGGATCAAGGGCAGTCTGCCGAAAATGGATGATTACGAAGAGGCAGAAATACGAACGCAGAAGCTTCTGAATGTGTTGGATCTTATAATGTTTAGTTGGATTGCTACATTTGTCGTCGTTGTGTTTATAGGGTATTAAATGTCATTGGAGGTCCTCGGTCCTGAGTGCATGGAGATATGCCATGTAGAAACCAATAAATGATTCCAATATAGTTCTATGGCTTCCCTTTACCTGTAATTACCTACTGTGAGTATAGGAGAAACTCGGGTCAAGTAACTGTACATAAAAATATTTATAAAGCTTGGATCTAACTGGATGATAGAAAAATACATCATATATTTGCTTACGACCCCTACTACATGACATTAACACAACGGTGTAATCTTCCCAGTCTTCAGTTCACCCAAAACTAACGACGAAACTTCGTCCCAGCGCTCCATCGTGTCTGCCTCGGCGTCAAACGCGTACAACCACCTATTCCGCATCTTGACGGTTTCGGGATCGATCTCGACGCCTTCATCCACGTTCTTGAGCGCGTTATGCCAGCGGTCCCTCAAGTCCTCTCCGTTCGTCTGACTAGCTCTAGTCCTCCCGAACCGCAACTTCTCGTAGCATCTTGTCTATAGGTCGTTGTTTAGATTAATAACTACATCGGTCTAATGGTACATCAGTTAAGGGCGAAAATAGGAGGTTTCTTACTGCTAAGGGAATGTTGTCCTTCCCGGCTAGCTTCAAGCAAATTGCAAGTACGCCGGCGCTTTCTGTTGCTTGACTTGCGCCTTGTGCGCTTGTCGGTAAATGCGGGTGGCAGCTATCGCCTAGGAGCGCAATTTTGTGGCTCTTGGATACCCATGTAGAGAGAGGGTCTCTGTAACAGATTTCTTGATTTTTAAAAATGTTAGTTATAATTCACGGCGTAGATGATGCGAGGTAGGTAATATTTACTCCAATCCAGGCATGATTCGGTTTTCTCTACAGCGGCGCGTATCCGCGGGTCTAAATCTTGTAGCGACTTCTTGACCTCGTCCATGTTTCCCTCTTGGAACCACGACTCCTTGATCACCATATCAGCTTCGTGAGATAGCTTACGCGTTACAATCCAGTTGAACTCGTCGCCATTCCGGAGTGTGTTCTGAACTAGATGTGTATCTTCGCCGATCCTAGATTATTATCTTTAGTATATGCTTCGGACTAACTTGACTTCAGGGACGGTACTTGTTTGGCATACCAAATATTAACACAGTCGTGGTCTACAAACTCGCGACACAGGGGGTCTTCCTGCAAATGCTTTCCGGGGAAATAAGCCCGATAGCATGAATATCCACTACTCTTCGGTGCGTCTTCAAATCCCAATACGAGCTCCCGCGCACGCGACTTGATACCGTCGGCACCCACAATGAGATCTGCTGTATCCTCTATGCCGTCTGCAAATATCACACTTGGCTTCAACTCGTCGTATGCGACAACTTCGCGGCCCATCTGTATCTCTATGCCAGCATCTTTCACGGCTTGGATGAAGGCTTCGTGGTAGTCCCCACGATGGCCGATGTAGCCCGCCATATCCATCAACGGCTGCTGCGCTAGAATCTTGCCGTCGTGCCAGCGGCGGATTTGCATGTCAGGGGCTTGATTGCCGATGCTGGTTAATTTATGGTATAAAGACTTGCCTCCCCAGCGTTCGAGTAGCTTGAGCGCATTTTCCCCTAGCCCCAGCGAGTCACCCAATCGTCGGAATGCCTTTAGTCTCTCATAAACAACCACATTGTGTCCGTGATGTTTAAGAGCGAGTGCGCAGGCGCATCCGCCAAGACCGGCACCGATAACAATGACTTATAATTGATGGATATATTTAGTAATTGTTTCAAGATCGCAAGTCTAAAATTGTAGTATAAGTTTGATTAATTCAGTTAGCTCACCTTTAATGGGCTCCTTTTTTATACCGTTGATAGTCATGGCGGGCAAACTCTACTATAACATGTACCGCTGCGTTTAAATCCAGTGAAATTTAAGGGATGGGTACGATGCGGCGGGACGGGCCTTCGTGAGAATCCGGGGGTCTCCATATCTAGGGCCGGGATTGCCTGGATGCAAACGACTTTCTTTCTATGCCGAAGGGAACATCAGCAGATTCCCCGCCAAGAAGTCACCAATAACAATACAGATCCATCGAGCTACGCCCAGTTTGCCACGGTAGATTGTATTAATAAGACGGTACGTTGTTCTCTACCCGCATCTTCGGATTTTTATCTTATATCCTTTTCCACCTGTTAGGAATTCCCCGACTCCATGCAGGATAGGATTTAGTAGTATCCCTCGGCGTATTGGGGGCGAATCCCCCTCTTTACCTAGGCTTTTTAGATGCCGTTACAGCAACCGAATGTGCTATCTGGATTACCGAATCGATCACTCAGCGGTTAGCCTCATTATTAATTCCACCGACTACCAGGGTCGAGTTCTATGTGGATATCGATATATTCGCTGTCTGTCTTTGAAGTTATCATGTGAATTTGGACGTATTAAGAGAGTTGCCGTACGAATTGCACCGTTAGATAAACATTTAGATGAGATATCTTCATATCTAACCTGTAGTATATGCTGAAGATAATTGGCTAATCTGATATATGGACCTCATATGTTGAATAACAGGAATTATGTCTCAGATAATGCCCGATCGATCCTATTGAGAATGTCAACGAGACATCGCACAAATAGGGGGCGTGATTGATAATATCTTAGAAATAGGTATTAGATAAAGATGCAATGGCGCATCTGCCGAGGATCCCCCAAATCCAACCCCGCCTATATCCTTACAAGGTGCCGCTCGCTGTTGGAGAACTTGGAACATGGCATTACTAATGAGTTTGGAGAAACTTCAATAAGAAGATGGGGTTCGAAGGCAGCCGACACGTCAGTTCCACCGAGCTCTCTAGAATGAAATAGGAGTTCCTTCATGGTTTGAAGGGATCATATTATTAGCATCATGGAAACAGCAGCTGCCCCGGGGACAATCCCTTCGATAAAGGAGAAGTATAGTGGCGTGCCTGTGCGACTTAAGCAGGAAGCCCAAGTTGCACGAGATCGCTTGCTGTCAAACCACACGCTGCCGGTTAGCCGCCCAAGGAAGAACCCAGTACGACTTCCACCAGATGTGTCTCTGGAGGACTTTGAAGCAGCTATCAAAGAGCTGCAGGGCGCAATAGGAGACGAAAATGTCGAAGTCAATGATAAACCATTGGTGGATGGATGGTATATGCAGCACCCAAATACCCACGACGCTTTTCATATCACGGACCAGGAGGAACTCGTTAGCAGTGCAGCCGTATATCCTGGATCAACGGAGCAAGTCCAGACCACGGTACGTTGGGCAAACAAATTCGGCATCCCGATTTACCCTATCTCCATCGGCAGAAACTTGGGCTACGGTGGCGCAGCACCCCGAATCCCAGGGGGTGTAGTCGTCGATCTCGGTAAGCGGATGCATGAGATTCTAAACATCGATGCTGAGAACGCGAGTTGTCTCGTCGAGCCTGGAGTAACGTACTTCCGGCTCTATGAGGAAATTCAGAAAAGAAAGCTCCCGTTATGGGTCGACACACCTGATCTAGGTGGTGGTAGCGTATTGGGTAATGCGATTGACCGCGGTGTTGGATATACACCATATGGCGATCATTTCGCAAACCGCTGCGGCATGGAAGTTGTCTTGCCTAACGGCGAGTTACTGCGTACGGGTATGGGAGCTCTGCCGGGTCCAGACGGGGCGGACAATCCTACTTGGCAGTCATTTCAACATGCCTTCGGCCCATCGATCGACGGTATATTCTCTCAGAGCAATTTCGGCATTGTGACTAAGATGGGAATTCAGTTGATGCCAGAAACAGAGCACCAAGCCTACTGCTTCACATTCCCGCGCGATGATGATCTTGAGCAGATCGTTGATCTCATTCGGCCGTTGGCGCAGAAGGGTGTAATAGGGAATATTCCACAGCTACGTCATGTAACCCAGGAGCTCAATGTCACCGGCCGACGGCAGTCAGATTTTCACGACGGCTCTGGTCCTATGACGCGTGAAGAGATTCGATCTGCAGCTGCTGAGTTGCCCTTAGGTGATTGTTCCTGGATCTTCTATGGCACGCAATATGGTCCATCCGCATCCATCGCAGCACAACTGGAAGTTATCAAGGCTGCGTTTTTCAAGATCCCTGGCTCAAAGTTCTTCTTACCCTCTGATCTGCCGTCAGATCATTATTTGCACAACCGCGTATTGGTCTGCAGTGGCGTTCCTGTCCTCCGTGAGCTCGATGGGCTAAATTGGCTACCGAATAGTGGCCATCTGTTCTTTAGCCCAATAGCCCCAACTCGTGGCAAGGATGCGCGTACTATCCACGACATAATTGTCAAGGCGCATGAACGTCATGGTTTTGACCTACTTCCTACGCTTTGCGTGGCAGGTCGTGAGATCCATTATATCACGAACATAATATACGACAGGGCAGATGCGGGTATGAAAGCTTCCGCTGTTAAACTTATGAGAGAAATGATAAAAGAATGTGCAGAAAAAGGCTTTGGTGAGTATCGCACACACATTCTTTTCGCCGATCAAGTAGCCGGAACATTCAATTGGAACAATTCGGCGTTTATGCGCTTCAATGAGACAATCAAGGATGTATTGGACCCGAATGGGATTCTAGCCCCTGGCCGAAACGGGATCTGGCCCAAGCGATTCAGAGGGAAAGGATGGGAACTGAAAGCTGATGATACTGATCTGTTATCCATTGGGCCGCGGCCCGAAAAATAGCAATATCAACTCTAGTAAGAAATTTCGAATAGGGTATCGATTACTTGCCTGCAAAATTTAATCTTTATAGTCTGTAGATATCTTGCTTGTTCACCTTCCTTCCCATACTTTCCGTAAGCCTGCCAAACCGATAAATAGTGCTTCGTCCGTCCTGATAGTTCTGCTTCCTTGTCCTGGTAGAATATTCACCCAATGATCAAACAGTTCCTTCGTTCTCCCCTTGACAATTCCCATGCCATTCAATTGCGGGTCGTTTTCTGCAGCATTCTCTAGGCCTCGGGGTCCACCAAAGACAATTAGAAGGTGATTGAAGGTCACCGCATCCTTTTTCTTTCGCTCCGGAAATGCCTCTGATATAGAGACACCGCGTTCGGACGTCCCGATGTTCAAGTCGTAGCCACCCTCGTAGGTACACTCTTCAAAGACGTTTGCGAGCGAATCGCAACGTCGCACTGAGAAGCCCCAGTAGTAACCCCCTTCAACACGTGGTACGCTAGGGTCTACCGGCTCTGCCCTTGATAAATCGTTCTCGTCAATCTTAAGAGTAATTCGGGTCTTTGGCGGGACTTCGTCGCTAATAGTCACTGGCTCCCTTCTACCCACATCCACGAGCGTTCCCTTACCACCTTTCGGTGTTCCAGTCACCGTCACACCCTCGCAATACGGCAGCCAGTCGGTAGAGTGCGGGTGCGAGGGGATGTCCAAGCTTGCCATAAGCCCCGCACCTCTTAGATTAGGGTGAATGGGTAGTAGTGTCCGTCGCATAAACGGCGGCATCTCTAGATACTGCAGTAGATGATCGAGGTACCCACAGGGGTCGAGATCGCCCGTGTATCCAGCAGGGTCGATGTTCCTAGGTCGCGTGTCCGGATGCGAGTCATCGAATATGACAATTTCGTCTATGCTGAACACGGCGAGAGCACGTGCGATGTGTGAGACAACGCCGGTGCGTTGGTCATCTCGGCGACAGCTAGAATCCAATTTCAGTGAGTTTGTCATAAAAGCTGACTGGTAGGTGTGCTAGTGAATGCGACTGACGTTGAGAGAACGCTTCCCGGAACGGCTACGGAGATGGTCCAGTCCCGGCCCTGGATAGGCTTAAAGAAGGCACTCGGCCTCGATGTATCTACGTAGTCGCCGTCTTGTGTAAGGCGACGTTTCTACAGACCGATTAGATTTCCAACTTGAATGAGTTTATGATAGGTCAGCATACCTTATGTCTATCTTGTTCATAGGTTGCCATTGTGTGAGAGGTGATAGAAGTTAGGGGTGTATCGGTAGGAATTGTAAGCTCACTTCCGAAGACATCACATTTCACACGGCGCAATGTAAAATTTCCAGCTTCGAATTGACTTTAGGAAAATTCCGCCGGCAGAATCTCACCACCTTTCTTACCGCCTCCCTTGTTAGGTATAGCGTGGTGGATAGGGTATGCATAGTTCAACAGTCCAATCATATCCACTTACGCTGAATGTATATGGCAACCTTGGAATTTATACAATTATTAAGCTTAAAGTTATAGCACAGGCACATTTGTGAAAGAAGCTAGGCATACGTTTCTTGAGCATGCTTATATAAGGAGCCATCCTAGAATCTTCTAAATCATCAAGCGATCGATTTTATTTCCGTCACATTGACAACACGAGAATCAATTTGCGCCCACCTGTTATTCGGAGAGCGGGCCGTATATTCGGAAAACCCGGTTTCAAGTTCCGAATTGTGGAGAAGAGAGGATGGACGGAAGGAGATGGCAATACAACCATGCGGCAACGGAGGAAGGGTGTCCGGAATGCGAATTTGAGTATGGGTATATTAGGGTATCTACGTAAATACCTTCAACCCGCCCAGTTCTTGGAGTTCTTGGGTTTCTGTCTTATCCGCCGTACCTTCACCTATCACCTACGACAATCCATCCGTGACAATGTTCCGCCAATTCGGTCTCCTCGCCCTTGCTCTCCTACCTTTCTCCTTCGCCCAAGTCTCTGACGACTTCGAAGGTGGATTGGACGCAGCCGCGTGGCCTACATACGCGAACGACTGTAACCAGGGCGGTAAAGTCACCCTTGATAGCTCTACCGCTCACAGTGGGAAGAACTCCGTAAGGGTTGATGGTGCAGGCGGTTACTGTGGGCACATCTTCTTTGGCACGACGAAAGTCCCCAGCGGAGATGTTTACGTGAGGACTTATCTGTATGTTATACTGTTGTCTCTAGTAATTACTAAGGAGCTTGAGGAAGGAAGCAATTTCAATAAAAGTCAATGCTAATATCGATCCTCTTACAGCAAAGCCTCCAAGGCCCTAACCGACTCTCACGTCTCTTTCATCACCATGCCCGACTCTTCCCAAGGCGACAAAAAGCACCTCAGAATCGGTGGTCAGAGCAAGATTCTGATGTACAACCGCGAGTCTGACGATGCTACCCTTCCTGACCTCTCCCCACAAGGCATTGCCGCTTCCACCGCCCTTCCTACCGGCGACTGGCAATGTTTCGAGTACCACGTGGGAACCGACGGCACCATTGAGACTTGGTTGAACGGCAAAGCTATTGATGGTCTTACTGTCAAATCTGGTAGCAACAACGCCAACGCGGGCCAGTGGCAAAGGGGCTCCGCCAAACCTAAAATCACCGCCGTCTACTTTGGATGGGAGTCCTACGGCGGTGATACTAACACCTTCTGGTACGACGACGTTGCCGTTAGCTCGACGCGTGTTGGATGTGATGCGTGATTTAACTCTTACTCATCGAGTCACCAGTAGGCGTTTTGTCATCAACAATAAATATTCTCCTATTGAAATGATACATAGGTGGAGAATTGAATATTGAGGCCTAAATATCACACATGCGATGGAATATATTACCTAGATAGTGAACTTTGTCAGGTCTCGTACTCTACCTAGGTACCTACCTACGTATTTATATATTTGAATTACGAATTAGCCTAAATATGATAAAAGGCACACCAACCGCAACCTTGAGAATCTAGTTGTGGACAGCATATCTTTATTGGTATGTGGTATATTCCGGTGGGAACTTGAGCCTAAAAGGGGTATAGCTAAAACCCCGCCAACTGTCTATTCTGATCTGCCGGGGTCTATACAAGGTAAGCCATCTGACTAAACCACGTGAAAGGGGCAAATATTTTTCGTAAACACGATCGCTATAGTAAATCTAGGCTAAACTTCTCATTTATATGGTTCAGTTAATAATCTGCTGCAGGGTAGCGAGGCTTATTAATGATAATACCTCGTAGATAACAGATTTCAACAACTACATATAGAACATTAGTCTCCAATGTGTAACGAATGTTTCATTTAACTACCTCCAAGGTATATACCATGCGTGTTTCCCCAGTGGTAAGTCTTAGACTAACTACCTAGGTGCTAATCACATTTATGGAAAGCTGTATAAGCTGTATGGTAAGAAAATATCATGAAACTATAACATAACATATAATAGCAGCTAATGGAAGCTTTGATACGCTAGATATCACTAATGGGCATTTGATATTCTTAGTTAGCACATTAACATAAGTAACCATTGTTCAAAAGATCAAAAGGGTAATGAAAAAATAAACTAACTAGTAAATGATTAAAAACACCATCTCAATGACTCTATGTATATAGAACATTTCCAACTGCTTCAACTGCTTCAAATTTTACTCACATTTACTCCTTATAGGTATGATTAACTTCCCACTGTCACTTCCCACTGTCGGGTAACGGTAATGCCATCTTCAGACCCTAAACTTCTACCCAAACGATGTAGCTCATGAGTACTGTGTGGGGGAATCGCGTTTTCAATGGATAGATAATTAACACTGAAGCCATCGTATGTTGGACGATAAGCGTTGCGCTCTCCACTTGCTGTTAGGCCGGTTGTGGTCACAATACTGACTTCTTTCCTAGTGCACCGATTCGGACGAAGACTAGTGAGCCTATTCACAGCGGGCTTAATAATTGGGACACATGCATTGATAACTCCAAGAGCCGGCTCCAAGGCAGAGTAAATAACCTCTGTAGTGGCGGAATATGTCGGATCATCCAAGTCAAGTTCGAAGAGCGAGATGATGCGCAATATAGAGACAACCCAGATACTATTTAAACTAATCAGTAGCTGATATTGTGAGTGGTGTCTTCGAAACTAGAATACTTACACGGCGCCAACACCGAACATTATGACGATTACGAATTTCTTTGCCAATGACATATGCAAGCGGAATAGCATTGGCATTGGCAACAAGACTACCAAAATATCAAGAGCGAGGTTGGTGATACCGGTAACGATAAATGAGATCATTTGCCCTGGACATTTCCCATCTTGAATACTTTTGTCCCAGGTGTACTGAACTGGTTTGCACAAAAGAAAGGTCTCCAAGGTTATGGCGACCAGGTAAACCATGTTGATGACCATAGTTGCATAACAGATGTAAACAAACTTCTGATTGGGGAATATAGACGTATAAAGGGAGAGAATTGAAAACTTGACACATGAGTTTGATGCTACCCAGAGTATCTCTGCAGCTATGAATAACTAGAATACAAACGCTGTTAGAGATAAATTAGAAGAACTTCAAGAATTAACGAACCTTCACGAAGCGGGAATACGATAAGGGGGCTGTCATCAAAAGTTCCTCGACGTGGCATCCGAGGCCACCAATGAAGCTGGCTATTGCGGTTGTTTAGTAATGACTGCGGTTTTGCCATTCGAGGGACTCGATAGAAGTACCTAAAATAAAAGTAGAGAGCATAGCACCAGTTAAAACCATTGCTACAATTGCCATATAATCATTAAAAGCGAGTGTGGTTTGTAAAATATGTCTGGACCATAATCTCAAACCAATGAAAATAAGCGAGAGACTGGCTGAGACAATACACACCACTGTCACTTGCATTCCGCCCTGTGTAAGGGGCATTATCAACGCCGTGGAACAGTGAGTGGAGCGGGGAAAGCCTGGATGCTGTCAATAGAGGTAGACAAGATGCAAATTATAATTAAAGAATGAGAAATAGGAAGACTAGAGTGCCTAATGCTGGAAGATGTTAGGCCATTCTATCTATGTTACATTTATTGGCTTGATGGGCGGAATTAAGAAAACTGTGAGGCAGGGAAGAAAGATAATTCTCGTAACACATATATATGAGGTCCCCATCATTCTATGTTCGCCTCTATTTCAAACAAAGAATAACTATCTAACACTAGCATTCCACCCGGCTTTGTTTGGATCACAAGCGGATTGGAATTCCAAAGCGAGCCTCAGGTAAGTAAATGCACGCCCTTGGTGTTAAACACCCCGGGCTAATACTCTATAAGTTGAACCTCAATGGAAGATCAGTCAATTTGAACCAAGGAGAGGCCCTCGGATGGTCAAGCGCTATCATCGCGCAAGCTTTTTGTTCCCCCAACCGATGCATCGCTCGATGCTTGGAGTACACTTGGTAATGACGGATGGAACTCGGACACATTTAAGGAGTATTATTCAAAGGCATTTACACTTCCCAAAGTTGATCAATCATCAAGAAAGGTGCTTGGAATAGACGGGTATTCTCTATATAATACTCCTAACGGCCCACATCAACTATCCTACGCCGGGAATCCGGAGCATCCCGTACTCGAAGCTTGGATGACAACATTCAAAAACAAAGGCTATCACGTATCGAATGACCCATTTCTAGGAATACCCGTCGGGGCCTTTACCTCTCTCTCCAGCGTCGACCCGGCGAGGAAAGAAAGAAGTTATGCAACTTCAGCATACTACAGCCTTGTCAAATACAGGACCAACCTTGAAGTCCTTACAAATGCGACTGTGGAGAAAATTCTGTTCAAAGATGGCCATTGTACGCAGGCTATTGGGGTTCAGTATCGGCATGGCGATAACGTAAAAGTAGTAGCCGCCAGTAAGGAAGTTATTCTTGCTGCCGGCGTTCTCCAATCTCCCAAGCTTCTTGAGCTATCAGGTATTGGCAACAAATCGATACTACGCAGCAATTCAATCGAAACCGTTCAAGACCTTCCTTGTGTCGGAGAGAACCTTTACGATCATCCTGTTTGTAGTATTAGCTACGAGATGGTAGAAGGCGTAGAAACGCTTGATTCGGTGTTAAGGCAAGAACCAGAAGCCTTAGAAAAAGCCATGTAGGATTACACTGTAGGTAAAACAAGCTTACTGATATCCATGGGGGTCGATACATATGCATACCTTCCGATGGTCGATTGCCTTTCCGAGAAGGGCCAGGAAGCAATCAAGCAGCTACTTGCTCAGCATCGTTACTAGACTCAAATCAGCCTTCGGCGGCGTATCTCTCAGTTCTAAGACAGCATCCTCTTCCGATCGACCCCAACTCAGACTCGCCATCCGGTCCCATACACGGAAATTTTATTGCACTCGTCGCTACGCTTTCTCAACCTCTTTCACGAGGAAGTGTTCACATCACATCTAACGATCCATTGGCTGCGCCCACCATCGACCCTAATTACTTCTCCAGTGAGATTGGCATCGAAGTTTATGTACGACAAATGCTCTACCTTGACACTATCGCCAAGTCATCGCCTTTCAGCAAATTGCTAAAGCAGCCCCTAATTCGTCGCGACCCCGCTTCTCAACCTACCTGATATTGAGACAGCCAAGAAATACCTACGCACTAGCGCGATATCTATGTGGCATATGGGAGGAACCTGCGCCATGTTGCCGGAGGAAAAAGGGGGCGTCGTGAACCCGAAGTTGAAGGTATATGGCGTGGATAACCTTCGTATTGTGGATGCCAGTGCGATCCCGCTCATTAGTACTGCTAATCTTCAGTCTACTGTCTATGCATTTGCTGAGAAAGCAGCTGACTTGATCAAACAAGACTGCAGGCTGTGATCCCTCTGGAGTACGATTCGTATTGAAGGGTTCTTACAAGTGTGCTGGGATTGATCGCTCGTCTCTCTTTAAAGTTGGTTTCTGGATGTTGCTGCTTGGATGAAGTACCTACACGCTCCTTATTAACCTTCTAGTTGAGCCTTGTATGTTACTTGGCATACATCTAGTAGCTATTTGTACCTCGATTCTAGATAGTCTCAAATCTTAGTTCTATCCGATGAGAGGATTGGAACAACGACCGGCATTATATCTTGGAATGATAATAGCCCTATTTGGTTGGTTCATGAGTCGAATTTGGATAACGACTTATATTATGTCGATGAAGTTGGCGTAGGTCATACGTACCTATAGATCTACTTGGACTCTTGCTGTCCAGATCATCCCTGGAAGAGCTATTCGATGTCGTCGAAGTACATATACAACTGGGGGCTAGGGATCATACATCGTCAGCTTATATTGGCTTTATAATCGAAGGCTGTACAGTAATAATGAAAGTTATGATATGTAGACCACTACCATAGAAGACTGCAAGCCGCAATCACTTAAAGCATGCCGGGGTTGATAAAGCAACCTTCTTCATCACTCTACATAACGCCCCTAAGCCACCCAAGTCTTCATAGACCCGATAATTAATTTAGCAGGATTATTTCCAATTTATTCTGTTGTAACTTTTCTTGATCTCTCTCGGCGACCGAGTCATTTACTCGCATCCGATCTTCCGTGCCGTTCCTCTTCTGACATCTTGGCATAGCTAATATTTCCTTCCCAGTATATTCTGCCAGGTCTATTGAAAATGACAAACATTTATTTGCGTATATACCACCATTATCCTCTATCTCGATAATGTTGATTTGGAGTACTTCTGGGTATGAATTATCGGTAGGCACTAGATGGTCGAATGTGACGCCATAGTAGTCAATGTGCCTAAATACCTAAGGTGATGAGTGTGATAGAACAGAGTGACAAGTACCTACGGTATGCACTACAGATAGTTTGATGTCGAGATGTGTCCCTATCTTAATGGTTTTAGCATTACCTAACCCAAATATTTGTCTTGTATAACCATATCGCCAGCAATATCACGACGGACATCTTGCCCGTAAATTTTCTGATATGTTAATCTCGCAAGTGCTGGACCAGCCGGCTGTGGAAATTCTAAAAACATGACATTGGTGCGACATGATATATCTGGAAATAGTTTTTGGATTGATACTAATGGACCTTCAATCTGGATTCTTAAAGGCTGTTCTAGGGATGGGAGATGTAAAGGGTGAATTGGACTCCTGATGCAGGCTGGAATATTATAAGGTCAAGTGCCATTGAGTCTATCGAGTCTGTACCTAATAAAATAAAACACCTGACACTTTGAAGCGAATTGGATGAGATATATTTAAATGTTTCGAGAATGCCCGAGTTTACGAGGGATATTGTCAGACGATCTTTTTGCCTGGCTTTTTTTCGAAATAGGAAGTTCGTCCGTGCGCAGCGTTCGAGCGTTTTT